TCAATAAATGCTCCAACTCAGATATTCAGGATGTCCTCAATCCAAGCTCCAAAGCTCATGAACCTCCAGGGGCCTTATTCAGAACCCACTTATGCTTACTTTTAACAAAGTGTTAAATGGTTCACCAACTCACATCAAAATAAAAGTGGTCAATGAGCCACATGGGGAGCTGCTGGCAGAACACACTAAAAAAAAACCTAGAGCAAAAAAAAAATCTATATTGGAGAAAACAAACAAAAGGTTGGGGGCCATTCAGTATAGAGGCAATTGAATCTATATAGAGAACTGAAGACACTTCCAAGAGTTAAGGCAACATGTCTGTCCCAGGGTGTCTCTCCATGTGCCACTGACTGGCCCATGTGATTAAGTTCAATTCCGTTTTTCTTGGCAAAGTTGCCACTATTCCATTTCCTGGGGTTCCTTTTCCCTTAAGGCTAACTGATATATTAAGACTACTGTCTCCCTAGGCCCCTACTTCCTTTCCAAGAATAGCAGGTTCTTTATCTTTAGGTTTTATGGGAGGTAGAATCATAGTACTTAGGGTGAGGCTGAAGTCAGACTGCCTAGGTTCATATTCTGGTCCTCCCTTTACTGGCTGTATCAATTTACGCAAGTAACTTCACCTTTCTGAGCCTGAGTTTCTTCAACTACAAAACAGGGATATTTAGTATCTACCCTCATAGGGTTGTTATAAAGATTAAATGAGATATGTATTATCTACAAAACACTTAGCACAATGCTCAATAAATTTTAGTCATTTTTAATCACTTTAGGGTAGAATGGCAGTAAAGGAAAACAATACACTCTGGAAAATAACATGTTATTAAGAAGAAGCAAAACTTTCAGTTACTCTCTTTATGAATAAATGTGACCACTTCAAGGGACTAATCCTATAGAAATACTTGCAGATACAAAGAAATATGTACAAACATGCTTACAGCAGCATTATTTATAGTAACATAAAATGGAAAACAATCTAAATATCACTACCAAATAAAGAATTCTATGTAGTCATTAAAAATAAAGAATTTATATTCAGTCATGATCAGTGATTTCTAAGAAAGATTAAGTGAAGGAAAAGGTACTCAAAAATATGTGTAGCAAGATCCCATGTTTTAGGGATGGCATATATAGTGCAAATATATGCATACAGACATATATATAAATATATACATGAAAAGATCTGAGAAACTCTAGACCCAATTTTTAACAGTGGTTATTAATAGACAAAATGGAATGTCACCTTTTACTCTATGTATTTCTGTGTTAAGTTTTTTCACAAGGAAACACAAATTGCCCGGGTGGTGTGGTTCAGTGGATTGGGAATCGTCCCATGGACTGAGAGGTCCCTATTCCATTCCTGGTCAGGGCACATGCCCAGGTTGTGGGCTCGATCCCCAGTAGGGGGCATGCAGGAGGCAGCCAATTAATGTTTCTCTCTCCCATTGATGTTTGTATCTCTCTCTCTAAAAAAAAATCAATAAAAATATTTTTTAAAAAACAAATTTATATATATATCAGTAATTTAAAGAACATTTAAATAAGAATGAAGAAATGTTATTTGCAAATAAACAGAACGAAAAAAATGACAGAAATGAACATATCTAATAAACATATCACTCTAATAAACATATCATTTCTGTTAAGAGAAAGAAATGTTAAAAATATGAATAAAATACACTTGTATTTGACTTACAGAAATATGGGTGACCTTCCACCTCGCTCTCCTCTACATTCAAAATGCTCTTCCACAGTGGACAGTTTTTACACTTCAAGGGAGTGAGAGAAGGGAGGTATGACAAGGAAATAATCTGATTTCAAGGTAATTTAATAAATGTACTTACATGTAATCTACCTCGAAGCTCTCTGTCATTTCTCATTTTCACATAAATTCGCTCATCCAGGCTGAGCCTGATAAGATCCAGGGGCTCTTCTACAGTGTTGGTAGTTTGTTGCTGATAAAAGAAGCAGGCTTAGTAATCTAGTTACTAGAGAGAATGCAGCACTCAAATTAATGCTATGCTGTGTGATGTGGGCAAATAACATAACTCCTCTATGTCTTAAGTTTCATAACTTGTAAAATGTGGATCACAATAGTGCTTACCTAATACCATTGTTGTGAGGCTTACATGACATATATAAACGCTTAAAACGGTACCTGGCACAAAGTAAGTGCTATACAAATGAGACCTGAAACATACATACACAGGGAGGAGTTATACAGCAATATAATCACGACTGTACTCAGTTCCTCAAAATCCCAACTGCCTGACCCAATTTCAAGGTATAAGGAGTCACTCTCAGTGACGTAAACCTTATCTCAAATATCATTCAATAATTTGAAAAGTATTCACTTAATGACTACTACACAGTAGTCACAGTGCTAATCAGAGATGAAGGTCTGAGGGAAGACTATGAGTTCAGTACAGGGCAGGCTGAATTTAGGGTGCCAAATGGCCATAAAAATAATATATTCAGCCCTGGCTGGTTTGGCTCAGCAGTTAGAGCACGGGCCCTCAGACTGAAGTGTCTCAGGTGTGATTCTGGTCAAGGGCACGTACCTCGGTTGCAATTTGGTCCCCAGCCCTGGTGAGGGTTGTGCGGGAGGTGGCTGATCGATTTGTCTCTCTCACATCAATGTTTCTCTCTCTCTCCCTCCCTCCCACTCTATCTGAAGATAAATGGAAATATGTCCTCAGGTGAGGATTTAAAAATAGTAGTAATAATAATATATTCAACAGGCAGTATAGAATACTGGCTGAAAGCCATGGTTTCGGAATCAGACAGTGTGGGTCAACTCCTGACTCTGACACTTATGAATTGAGATTAAAAATTATGCCACCTCAGCCCTGACCTGGTGCTCAGTTGATTAGAGCAAAGTCCAACACGCCAAGGTTGAGGGTTTGATTTCCGATCAGGGTACATACAAGAATAAACTAGTAAATGCAAGAGTAAGTGGAACAACAAATCAATGTTTCTCTCTAAAATCAATAAATAAATATTTGAAAAAACATTATGCCATCTCTAATTCTCAGTTTCCCTGTCATAAAACGAGGAAGCCAAAATCTTCCTTCATGATTCTTATGAGGATTAAATTAACTAACATACTGTATAGCCCTGGCCAGTGTGTGGTTCTGTTGGTTGAGCATGATCCTGTGCACCAAAAGGTCGCTAGTTCAATTCCCAGTCAGGGCACATGCCAAAATTGTGGGTTCCATCCCTAGTTGGGGTGCATATGGGAGGCAGGTGATCAATGTTTCTCTCTCTCCTTTACTCTATCTCTAAAATCAATAAAAACATATTTTTAAAAAATTAGCTAATATATTTAAAATACTATCTGGCAAACAGAAAGTACTTATAAAATGGTTGTCATTGTTTCTGTTAAAGAACCATTGGAAACAGGTCTCGGAGAGATCAGGGCTAGGATGACTTGGGGTCATCTACATGGAAGAGATGGTTGAAGCCAGGAGAGTTGATAAAATTACTCAAGGAGAGCTTCTTCATGAGCATACGAGGCCAATGGAGGAAGGTGACCGAATATTACAGGCCCTACAGCCTTAAATGGCTAGATGAGAGGAGAAAAACATCCTGAGCTCAATTGCTCCCCAACCCTAGTTCAACAGGTGTTTGTTAAGAACCAACTAACCAATTAGATTACAATGATACAGAAGTCAGTCCCTGCCTTCAAGGAGCTCATTCTAGTCAAGAGAGGCATATAATTATAATACTATAAGATATAAGAATCTACACATGACAGAGGCCTACTTTAGCCTCAGTCTGGGATGCCCGCTGTCTACCCTTTTCATCCTGTAGCTTTAAATACTGCGTTTCCAAAGAGACCTCCCAGGTCAGCCAATTCATTCATTCACTCAATCAATGTGTTGAGTGTTTCCAGCACTGTTTTAAACTCCGAGGACAGAATAATGAAAACAAAACAAAACTCCTACTCTTAAGAAATTACATTGGGGAGCAGGGGGCAGGAGACAGACATTAAACAAAACTTATACTTGATATGAACAAGTAACATGCTATGAAGAAAATAGAGAGACTGAGGAGAGTAGGCTCGTTCATGTAGGTGACCAAAGGAGGTGAGGTTTCAGTAGACGTCGTGGCCTGATCCACGACACCTGCGGAAGAGTATTTTGGGAAGGAGGAGGAGCAGCTGAGAGAGCCCGTAGGCCTCGGTTCCCTGCACACGGCTCCTTGCTTGTTTCTCGCACACCACATCACAGTTCCTATATAGCGCACATATCAATGTTTACTTTTAATCCGTCCTCCCCCGCAATACAAGCTCCAACTAGGGGCAGTGATCACGTCATGTCGATGCCGGTGTCCCCGGTGCTTTATAACGGTGTCTAACCATAGAAAGCTGATGTTCACTAAGTATTTGTTGAATGAGTAACAATAGTTGCGCTCAGTAGTGATAAAAAGTCCTGAACTTTATTATCACGCTTTCTATCAAAATTCCGACAGCTCCGTGAAGCAAGCCAAGATCATTCCCCTTCTATGAAGTTGATACTCAGAGAAAGGAAATGACGAGCGGGCGAAGTTAACTAGTTTTCCGGCGGATTTCTAAGAAGACGACTTCAAGGCCCGAGGCAAAATTCAAGCCCGTAACGACCCGGAGAGAGGCGGCATGATAGGCTCCCTTCCCGTTAGCTTGGAGGAAGCAGCCCTGGTACGCAAAGCCGTCCAGGGCTGGACATGAGAAAGCCACGCTGGAGCGAGTCCCTCAGAAGACACTCACCTGGTCCACGTCGTCCGCCATGTTTCAAACCCTGCGCCCTTTCTCGCCTCTCGCGATATCACTCGAGCCCCCTCCAGGCTCCGGAAACGCGAGGCCGCTAAGCACCGGAAGTAGAAAGTAGTCTGTTTTGCCCCTCCTGGCTTCCATTGGTCTCTGGGGCGGAGCTTCATCTTGGGGCGTGCACTTGGGGCGTGCACTTGGGGCGTGGCCATGCCTCTTCCCACCTTGGGGCGGGATCCGCGCTCGAGCTTCTCGCCGCTTGGTGCGTCACTTGCGAAGCGAGTCTTGCCCGAGCAAGATGCCTCGGAAGCCGGCCGCCGGCAAGGGTCCCCGGGGACGCGAACCACGCGGCCGGAAGGCCAAGGGTGAGGAGAAGGAGGCAGGTGAGAGTGAGGCCAAGCTGGGCTGGGGGGAGGGAGATGCTGGAGAAGAGCCGGAAGCAGGCCTCGGTGCGGGGTTTGCGGAGCGGGCAGGCCGGCCCCCTGGAGGGGGGGCGTGGAGGCCCCCTGGAGGGGGGGCGTGGAGGCTGCTCCGCGCAGGTCTGCGCTGGGGCGACGACGTTACCGGAGGCTGGTGGTTGTCCTGCTACCTGGGTCCTCCTCGACGTCGCCCCGCCTTTGTCCTCATGCGAGGAGTGATGCGCCCCGAGCAGTTGCCTGAAACTCAACCGAACCACGAGCTCCCCTGCGTAGCCTCATTTTTGCTCCCTGTTTGCGAACAGGTTAAAGTCCAACCTACTGGTAGAGGCAAGGGCTGAACAGGGAAAAGGCATTGCAGTTATTTTGTGTCCCCAGAAGACAGTGGGTTAGGACATGGAGTGCTGTATGCTGACTCCCAGAATAATATCGTCAGCGAAATCGCACCCCAAGTTCCAGATTTGGGTCCAACCTGACTTCACGTGGATATTAAGTAGGCTTCGTGTGTTTGTCATGGGCAAAGCAGAACTCTTGGTTTTCTTCTTTCCACGTGTCTCTTCCCCGCTTTTTCCCTTCTCAATAAATGATGCCTTCACCTACCAGCTACAACAAACGCCCCTTTTTCCTTAAACGCAAACAGCCGGTCCGCCAGCAAGTCCTGTCAGTTCAACCTCAGAGCTGCATCTCAGATCTCGCCACTTCTCTTTGTTTCCGTGGCCACAGCCTCTTCCCAAGCCATCACTTCTCGGTTGAACGACTGTAGTTGCTGCTTTACTGGCCTCTGTATTTCCCTTCCTCCTCCTGGAATAGTTCACCCAGCAGCCCAGGTGATCTTGAAAGGAAAAATCAGATCATTACATGCTCCTACTTCAAACCTCCATGGCTTCCCATGGCTCTTGGCATAAAATCCAAATTCCTCATCATGGTTTACAAGACCTTACATGATTTGGGTATTGATGCCTCCTCTCCTGTTGTCTCCTACCACTCTTTTCTTTGACAGGTACTCTCCTTACTGGCCTTTCCATTTCAACATGCCATGTTATTTCTTATCTCGAACCTTTGTCTTTGAGGTTCCTTCTGCCTAAAATGTTCTTCTATGGCTCTTGCCATGGCTGATCTTTTACTCCTTCAGGTCTCAACTCAGGCACTTCTTGAGTGCCCTAAAGTGGCTTTCACAGCCTCTGTCACATCTGTAATGATCTTAATTTACTTGCTTTCTTTTTAATTGCCTAGCTTACTAAAATTTAAGCTTCGTGAAAGCATCTTATTTTTTACTGTATTCTCTCTTGTCTTCCCCCCGCATATACTAAGTGTTCAATAAATATTTTTAATAATTGCAAAAATACATGCTGTAGGGATTCCTGAAAAAACTAATAGATTAGACCAGGTAACCAGTTAGGGCCTCCTATGACACAAGATTCAACAATTCTGTGATTCTGTATATATTATTACGTTTTTCATCTATTAGGAAATTGTCATGCTAACAATTTCTAAACTTAAAAGGTGATTTACTTCACAATACAATGAGTTTCATTTAATTGATTTACTCATTCAAATAACATTTGAATATTTTTGAAGTACCAACTGTGTGGTATACATGAGCTAAGTGATGTGAGAGATTGAGATTTCTTGGAGAAGCTTATAGTATTGCAGTGTTGACATTTACAGAAATATCCAAGGCAGAGTGCAATATCATGGGAGACGGTGCAGGGCTTTGTGGCTTCCAAAGGAATAATCAAGTTTGATGGAAAATGTTCTCTGAAGGAGTTGTTTGATCTGTGACTTTAGGATGGGTAGGTAATAATATTTCAGCAAGAGGCTGAGAGGGGGTTGGTATTCTAGTCAGAGGGAACATATTCTGAATATGTGACAATTCCAAAATTAAAGTTTTAATCTGATGGAACTGCCACCTGTTTGGGTAGCATTTCTTCCAGCTAAACACTTTACCTGGGCACCAGCTTGGTATATCTCCAACACTCACTCGTTATATGCACTTGGTAAATTATTTTGGACAAATAATTTAGCCTTTTTGAATCTGGTCTGTGAAACATAATACTACCTTGCAGGGAGATGTGGTTTTTCAGTGAGATAGCATATAAAGTTCCTGGCATGGTCCATGTTAGGTAGTCAATTGGGCTAGCTCATATCAGTTCAGTCTAAATGCAGGTAAGGTACCCAAGTTTAACTCAAACTGTTAGCCAGAGGAGCTAGCAATAAGTTCCCAAAGCAGTTTTTTTGGATCTGAAGAGCTAGAGTCTTTGCTGTGGTTAGGTGGAGGAACAAGTGTGGTTTGGGCTGCAGGTGATACTAATTTGGTGACTTGTTTCTAACAGCACAATAGTGTAGATTTTAACAGCACCTCAGTGCATGTAATGAAATTATAATAATGAACAGGACAGGCAAGGTTCTTGCTTTCATGATGCGTATAACCTTTGTGGAGGGGTAGGTAGGACAAACAATAAGTTAAAAATAAATTCACATGGTGATAAGAGTTATGAAGAAAGTAAAACAGGTTACTGTTATAAAACTGACATGAGGCCCTGGCCGGTTTGGCTCAGCAGTTAGAGCAGAGCATCGGCCCTCGGACCAAAGGATCACAGGTTCCATATCGGTCAAGGGCACATACCTTGGCTGCGGTTCGGTCCCCAGTCCTGGTTGGGATTGTGCGGGAGGCAACCAATTGATGTGTCTCTCTCACCCTCCCACTCTATCTGAAAATCAATGGAAAACTGTCCTCAGGTGAGGATTAAAAAATAAAACTGACATGAAACTGGGAAGAAGCAGCTAAATCAGAATCAGTGGTTAGGGAAGGCTTCTGTGAAGTGACATTTTGAGCCAGTTACTGAACGTCCTGAAGGAGCCGTTCATAGGAAGTTCGGGGGGAGGGGGAAATCCAAGCAGAGGGAACATTTAAAGAAGGGAATGAGTTTGGACAGTTAGCTGGAACGGTGAGGTGAGAGAGGTGGCCAGAGCCCTTTGTTTGGAGACCAAGATAAGGAGCAGATGTTCTTATTAAATCTCAGTAGGTAGCCAAGCAAACCACAGTGGTAATTCCTGCCCTGCTGAAATAACATTGAGCTCGAGGAGGCTAATTATCCATATTCGATAGCCCTAGATCATGGAAAGGCCTGGAAGATAGCCTCCTAGATTCTCTGGGACCAAAAAACACGGCAAAGAATAAAGAAAAAAATCATCTCTATTTCTACCATCCAGAAATAACCACCACTAAATAATGATATATTTCCTTCTAGTCTGTGTTGTTTTGTATAGGAGAAACTGCACTGTAAAATCAACTTTGTGGGCTAAACATTTTATTCTAAATCATTTTTTCTTTGTCTTAAAAGATGACTGAGTTATATTTCACTGTGTGACCATATTGGAATTAATAATCATCTCATGATCATTTGGATTTTTAAAATTTTTTGATACTATGAACATTCTCATTCAGTTTTTTGTCCCCCCACCCCCCTTTTAACTCTCTCTACCTCTTTCTTCAAAGCACAAATACATATAACTGTGCCACTTAAACAACCAAGTAAGTTTGGTGAGAAAGAAACTGTGCCTCTGCAGTTCCCCCCAGCTGCATTTTTAGATCAGTAAAAATAAAGTATTTTGCATCTTTGCTCATTAATAGAGGGCTAAAGACCGTTGTAAGACACAATATCCTGATTTTAAGGGCACCCTATTCAAACTATCAAGTTATAAACCTTTAAGCAGCTTCTTGCCTTGGAATAAGAAATCTGTTTCTTGATTCTAAATAACTAATTTCAAAATATATTGTGTTTCCATTGAAATGTTTATTTTTATTTTTATTTTTTTTATCCTCACCCGAGGACATTTTTGCATTTATCTTCAGATAGAGCGGGAGGGAGAGAGGGAGAAAGAAACATCAATGTGAGAGAAACACATCAACTGGCTGCCACCCACACAACCCCAACCGAGGCCAGGGACAAACTACAACTGAGGTACGTGCCTTTAGTGGGAACCAAACCTGGTCTCTGGACCGCAGGCCGACGCTATAACCGCTGAGCCAAAGCGCCAGGGCCCATTGAAATGTTTAAACATTTATACATGGAAATGCATAAATTCCTTCTATAAAACATGTGAAAGAAACAGAACTGAATAAGTGCTTTTTATCTAGCATTAAAACAAATGCCCCTATAACGTAAAATTTATTAAAATTAAGTTATGGCTTTATTTAGATCAAAGGGGAGTCTTCTTCCTATACAAAAGTATATTCTTGGGGAATATAAATACCCCAAGGGAGTCAGCAAGACAAACCATAAGTGAAAGGAATGGCTTCATATGATATTTTAGGTAAATACTGCATCTCCTTTGGAACCTCAGTACAAGCTAGAGTATTTTTCTTTTCCAAAATTAGTTGAAGTAGAGTCATGCAAAGGCAAGAAAATGATTTATTTTCATGAATAGATTATTTTCTAAAGAAAATAGAAAAAAATCCTCTTCTGCCAAATTACTTTAATTATTTACTCATAAAAATATTTATATGTTATAAACAGACCATCGTTTCAGATAGCCTGATTTAACTAAAACCAACAGCTAAACTAAAAAATATAAAACTAACTAAAAAAAATAAAAATTCATTTATATTTCCCTTAAACAAAAAAATATATATTATTTTAAGGAAGTAGAGGTAATTACTATTATCTTATTCCATCCCTAAGTTTGCTGAGATGGTTGGTATACCAAGTGCCATTTGGGTTAGACTGGAAAGTTTTTATAAAGTATGTGTTTTGAGCAGAGTTTTATTTTGAAGAATGGCGGAAATACATACTAATAGAAATAAGATAAAACTTGGTTGTGTTTATGAACTCGAAATATTTCACTTAGTAAGAACGGATTATCCTTATAATAAATAGTCTTGGCAGATAGTAAATAAGCCAGGGATTAATCAGTAGATTGATGTATTTTTCTTATTGGATTTAAGCAGAAATTTAAGATTTGGAAGTTAGATTTTGAGTCATATGGTGGCCTCTCTGTAGTCGTAGGAGGAGTAGAATAAAATGCCAGTAAAGGAAAGTGGTTTTTACTGTGAACACAGAGCATAGACTGGACTGTAGGTAGGAAGAGGCTGAAAGCTGATTGTTGACCGAACATGGCACGGTGAACTGGTGATGGAGATGTGTTTTGGAGGGAGGTTACAGAAGAGGAGTTTTCATGACCCTGCCCATGAAACCACTCTGCATCCACTTTTCCTATTGTCCCTTACCTGTTGCATGTGGTCATCTAGATGTCCTTGAAGATGAGAAACCCCCAAAGAAGAGTCTGCTCTCAAAGGTCTCACAAGGAAAGAGGAGGAGAGGCTGCAATGATCCTGGGGGCCCAGCAGATGGTCCGGCAAAAAAGAAAGTGGCCAAGGTGACTGTTAAATCGAAAAACCTCAAAGTTAAAAAGGATGAAGCCTTCAGTGATGGGGAAGATTTCAGGTGAGAAGTCCTGATTGTTCGTATCAGAGAATTGTGACCAATAAAACCTGCTCTTTTTGCTTGTCACTAGGATCCATGGAAAAGATTGGATTTTAAACTCTTCTTTGTAGAGCTCAGACTACTTGTAAGACCTAGAAAGAATCTTAGCGATTATGTACTTTACCTCCCAAACTTTTCAGGTGAGAACAATGACAGCTTGCAGAAAGTAATTTATTTGTGGCAAAAACCAGGATGAGATCAAGGTCTTCTGACTCCTGGTCCTATGTTCTTTCTACTACACAAAGATATTACATATAAAAAATATTTACCTGCCATTCCATCTTTTTCTCATACTGCTGTACTCTAGCATACTCTACTCCTGTCCAGCTGGACTTCTGGTCAATCACTTGACACATGCTTATCTCTTTGCTATCTCTGAGTTGTGCTCACATTCTCCTTCTACCTGAAATGTTTTCGTCTACCCTAAAGATACAGATCAGAAGCCATCTACAGACTTTTCAACTTAGGATGGGTTTGTTGGGAAGCGACCTCTTCAGTTGAGGAAGATCTGTATTACGCATTAGCAACCATTTGGTCTTAAACTGATATGTAGCTAACTACGTGTCTGTGTAGTTATCTACTTAACTAGCTAGATGTCCAAGTTTAAGTGGCTATTTATGGCATAACTGTATATAGTCACATCCCCACTTATCTTTAAGTTAGACTTCAGCTTCAGTCTTCTTGCCTCATTTCTTTCTTTTTTTTTTACACCATATGAAGGTAGAATGGACTACCTCAGTAGCTTCTGAGGCTAATACATTTCTGTCACCACAATTACTTTAGCAAACCTAGTTCCCCTCACTTCTGCAACATCATGCAGAGTTAGTGATCAAGTTTGCACACATCATATTTTTTAAAGAGGGAAGGGGGTAAGAGAATCTTCTGAGTTGGCCGGTAGTAGGATCAACAAATGTGAATTCCCTTCTCTCTTTTCTGGCGTCCAGCTGTATATACACAGATGTCACAGCTTTTACTTTTGGAACTCACATTTTTATTGTGGTTTCTTCTAGTTTTTCCTAATTCATTTCCAGACATGGCTATGTTTTCCTTCACCCAGTTCTAGGCTATAGTTTTATAGTATTTTCTGTTTTAACAGCACGTCTAGTATTAGACTGATGATCGGAGCACATCTTGAGAACTTGAGACTCATGTCGATGGAGGAAATGAGGCTTATAGCTCACAAATGATCTTTAAATAGTTGCAGCAGATTTTTCAATAAATAGGAGGAGTCCTTAAAGCTCCATTTAGTTTAAATGTGATACTAGGATGTTTGCGCCTTCTTTATCTTCCTTTCTCTGGGCTTTACATAGAGACTTTACAAGTGTGTGCAAGAAGGCACACCATCCAGAGAGAGAGTCTGCTGTGGACAAAGACAGCCATGAAGGAGACAATGAGGAAGAAAGTGAAGATGATTGGGAAGAGGTAGAAGGTAAAGCATCTTTCTTTGTTTTCAGAACTGTCTGATCCTATTTTTCTGTCTGATTCTGTTGGGAGTCATGTAACTGATTGCAGTCCTGTTGTTTTCTTTTGACACTAATGAGATCAAAGATAAGCTTGCAGTAGGGACTTGCTTTTGATATGAAACATTCAACACCAGGTTACTAGAGCAGGGAGTATATTCTCTTCCTTTGCTGGCTGTCAGTGGAGGGAGTAAATTATGAAATAGAGAGACAATCACTCATAGAAAGAGCAGAGGCTTTTAAAGAAAAAGTTCAGGCCCTGGCCAGTTTGGCTCAGCAGTTGGAGCATCAGCCCGTGGACCAAAGAGTCGCAGGTTGCATTCCAGTCAAGGGCACGTACCTCGGTTAAAGTTTGGTCCCCAACCCTGGTGAGGTTCTGTGAGAGCCAATTGATATGTCTCTGTCACGTTGATGTTTCTCTCTCTCTCTTCCTCCCTCCCACCCACTCTGTATGAAAATACATGGAAAAATATCCTCGGGTGAGGATTTGAAAAATGAAAAAGAAAAAGGTCAGGCTTTGAAAGAGTTAGACCTGGGGTCAGAGCCCAGCTTTGCCAATTCATATAGCTATGTGAGCAAGTGATTCCACCTGTCTGAGCCACTGTTTTGCATTGTTAACATTCAGTAAACACTGAATGCTTACTATAAGCAGCGCACAGTCTAGGCTCTGGGATTGTTGAGGGGGTGGGAGTTGCAAATATAATGGGCCTAGTGTATCATATGCTCACAGTAAATAGGAGCTAATGTTATCATCCCTGAATCCTGCTGCCTAGTGTGACTTTTTCCTAGCTATCTATTTTTAAATGTCCAGACCTACAAGAAAGTTGAAAATGTAGTACATGTACTCTTTTTTTGCTTTTGTTTTGATCTTCACCTGAGGATATGCTTTTATTGATTTTTAGAGAGCAAGGAAGGGAGGGAGGGGGAGAGAGAGAAACATCCATATGAAAGTGAAACATTGATCAGTTGCCTCCTACACGTGCCCTGACAAGGGATCAAACCCACAACCTGGATGTGTGTTCTGACTAGGAGTTGAATCCACGACCTTTCAGTGTAGTACATATACTCTTCATCTAGATCACTGATTTTAACATTTTACCATATTAAATGTATCTTTTAGTCAATATGCCTTGTGGAAGCATAACATTCTGACACTTCACTTCTAAATACCGCACCATGTATTTCCTCAGGTTAAGACATTCTCCTGCATTATAAAATACCATTATTATACCTAAGGAAATGAAAAATAAATCCCCTGTTGATATAAAAATATCCTTTTTAGCTGTTCTTTTTGCCTTTTTTTCTAATCCAGGATCTATTCATAGTGTAAGCCTTATATTAGTTATCTCTTTTCTCTTTTATTCTAGAACGGTACCCCCCCACCCACCTTTTTTTGTTTTGTCTTTGATAGTAGTGCCTTTTTTGAAGAGTCCTGACCTCTTGTTTTATAGTGTCTCAGGTTCTGGCTCTGTCTGATAAATAATCAGGTATCTCATGGTGTTGTTACAGTTATTTCAGTATCCCATGTATTTCTTATAAATTGTAAATTAAATTCAAAGACTTCATTGAATTTAGATTAAAATTTTTTTTTTTTTTTTTGGCAAGCATGCTGCATACTTCATATCACATCCATTAAGAGACACCTAGCCCTGGCCGGTTTGGCTCAGCGGTTATAACATTGGCCCGCTGACCAGAGAGTCCCGGTCTTGGTTCCCACTAAAGGCACGGACCTTGGTTGCAGTTAGTCCCCGGCCCTAGTTGGGCTCGTGTGGATGGCAACCACTCGGTATGTCTCTCTCACATTGATGTTTCTCTCTCTCCCTCTTTCTCACTATGTCTGAAGATAAATGCAAAACTGTCCTTGGGTGAGGATAAAAAAAAGAGAGAGAGACACCTAATATCAGGTTGTCCAACTAATGATGCTAAGTAAGATGGTACTGCCAGATTGTGCCAATGTAAACATACATTTCCCTTTGTAATTAACTATCTCTAGGGTTGTACTCTGATTCTGAGTGAATATCTTATTCCCCAATAATTTTTTTACTTAATGGTTTTAACATGCGTTAATGATCTTGACTGGATCAAAAAATATTACATTGAAGATTCCAAAATAGTAATAATCTGATTCTGTCATCTTATATATATTTATTAGCTGACTAATTTGTAAAGGAATTCTATTTACCTGTATTTAGCAAATGTCTAATCTTACCTCCCTTTCAGGAATTGTATTTATTTAGTCATATTCTGATGGACTTAGAGATTTTTCTTAATTACATATTATTACCAGTTATCATCATAATACTTTTTGAGCTTCAGATTGTCCCAGATTTGGCTAGTGGAAGCCCCTTTAAGCTAGCTACCCTCCTGTGTCTTTTTGACATGACCTGATTAATTTTTAGAATATTTATGTTTTCTGGCACAAGGTGTTCCAGATTTACTTTATACTTTCCTTGCTCTAGACCTGAAATCAACATTTTTTTCTCCAAAAAGCCCTGGTTCATTTTAGTGGGGACTGGTGTAGAGAAAGTAAAATCTTGGATTAGGGGTGTTCATTGCTAATTGGGTGTTGTTGCTTCTAGGCCCAAAGCTTCTTTAAATGATCTCTTTGCTAATGAAGTTCACAGTTAGATCCAGTTCAGCAAATTCAGTTTATTTCAGCTGGTGTTTACAAGCCATGTGTAGGGATAAAGTGATTAAAAAGATGCATTTCTTGTCATTACAAATTTACAGCTAAGACACAAATACCTAAATCATCACTATATATCAAGAAAATTGTGTTAAGTAGTAATAAAAAGATAGAAAATTGCCCCGGCCAGTTTGGCTCAGCAGTTAGAGTGTCGGCCCACGCACCAGAGAGACCCAGGTTCAGTTCCTGCTAAGGGCATGTACCTCAGTTGCAGTTTGTCCTGGCCCTGGTTGGCATAGTGTGGGTGGCAACCACTCAATATGTCTCTCTCACATCAATGTTTCTCTCTCTTCCTCCCTCTTTCCCTCTCCTGCTCTATCTGAAGATAAATGCAAAAATGTCCTCAGGTGAGGATTAAAAAAAATTTTTTTAAAGATAGAAAATTGTTTTCATTTGGCTTTTTTAAAAAGTAGGTTATACTAAAACACACCCGAGTTTCAGCTCCTTGATAGAAAGGGTCTGTATCTAACTTAAGTCAATATCTTTATGTCTTAGTTTACTCCTCTTCTATCAGGACAACTATTCTGGGTTTCTGTATGAGTTAAACAAGACAAATAAATGTAGCATGCTTAGCACAATGGGTTTTATTTTTTTAGGTACTAAGAGCCTAGAAGGAGTAGTTAAACCTCTGAGAGTTGTCCACCTCACATCCATTACACACTTCTTTCCCAACAGAACCTTGATTTTGTTCAATATAGTACCTATTATTGTAATTACTATTATTGATTTTTTTCTTTTTTAATTACTGTTGATAGAACTTAGTGAGCCCATGCCAGATGATATGGGAGAAAATGCAGCCTTCTCTCAATCTCTTCTGCCTGTGAAACCAGTGGAGATAGAGATTGAAACACCGGAGCAGGCGAAAGCAAGAGAAAGAAGGTAATATTAGGCACTTGTTTCTAGATTCCTGTCACATATAATTGGCAACAGCTGCTACTTAATGGAAACAGAGAAACACACAGGAGACCAGGGCTGAGTATCTAAGTGGTCGGGGACCTTGGGTGAGAGAACCCTGGGCTCACCTTTAGACTTGAATGAGAAACCTTTGTGTCCTGGCTGGGGCAGGAGATGGGGAGAGAAAACTCCGATGTATTGAACAACTTCTGTGTACCAAGGTTATCCATTATCTTACTAAATCTTTAGAACAGTATGTGAATGAGGAGCCAAAGGCTCAGAGAGATGAAATATAATTTCAGGAGTCACTCAGCCAGTAAGTGAATGAGCCACGATCTAAATCCCTGTCAGGCTGATTCGCATGCAAGTCATGCTTTTTCCTCCACGTCACTGTGCAGGACTTGAAGCAGTGCCCCACTATGGTAGAGGGCCCCCATTTTATCCCAGTATCCCCAGTACCTCTGTAGCTTCTGGTGGCTTGGGAATATGGAGCACAATGCCTGGTAGTTAATGGGTTCCATTGTGTGGTATTAGCCATGCCAAAGGAAGATAGAAAGTCATTCACGAGCAGTGAGTTTTCATAAAGATGCATGAGACACAGACATTAAAGAGATTTGACATTAGAATAGTGTAATACAAGTGAGTGTACATTAATTAAATATAAAGGCGATGGTTGCTAAGGTGGAAATCAATAGTTGGAAGGTCAGGCAGTCAGAGAAGACTTCCTGGAGGAGGTGAGTGACTCAGGTACATGAGGCATGATTTTTTGCAGATTGAGAGGAAGTCAGTCTGGGTAGAGAATGTCCTAAGCTAGGATTTGTAGGTGAGAAGGAGCAGAAAATAGGTAGCTTTTTAAAAATCTACTTGAGTCCGGCTACTGTGGCTCAGTGGTTGAGCGTCGACCCATGCACCAAGAAGTTGCTGGTTCTGTTCCCGGTCAGGACACATGCCCAGGTTGTGGGCCCAATCCCCAGTGGGGGGCGTGCAGAAGGTAGCCAGTCAGTGGTCTCTTTCATCAATGTTTCTCTCTCTCACTCCCTCTTTCTCTGAAATCAATAAAGGAAAAAAAAATTTTTTAATCTACTTGAGTAGCACAGCCTTGTGCAGGAAAAAAAGGAGAGTGATTCACAAGCCATTAGAAATAAAAGAAATTGGGGGAATGGAGTCAGGTTTCAATTTCCCAGTTCATTCTTGGATTTTTCAATATGCATTGCAGTGAAAAAATACAGATGGAGTTTGAGACAGCTCTTCGGAGGCTAATGAAACGTTTCAGTAAAGAAGTCCAGGAGGGCACACATAAGGTAAGGGCAGGGAGTGAAGGGAGAGGATAATATTCCTCTTTGTCAAGGCAGAGTGTGATGGCGGAAAGAACTTGGGTTCTCAGTCAGTTAACCCTAGGTCTTATTTCTGCCTCTCCTACTCACTGTGTGACTTTGGCAAATTTCTTACTCTCTGAGGCTTAGTTTCCTCATCTTTGAAGTAGGGGTTAATAATAGTGTCTTCCTCAGAGGGTGGTTGTGAGGTTTAAGCCTATATTATATGTAAGGTATGGAGCAGGGGCTAAATAAAAGATACTCTCCATCTCTTCTTTTAACTGTTTAATAACATTAATTCTGATCTTAAGTAAAGTTGCTGGCTTTTGACTTCAGCTGATAGTTATTGAACATGTATTATGGACCTATCAAGGTTGTTTTTTTTTTTAATCCTCACCCGAGGACATTTTTCAATATTTTGTTCAGATAGAGTGGGAGGGAGGGAGAGAGAGAGAAACATCAACATGAAAGGGACACATCGAGTGGTTGCCACCCACACGACCCAACCAGGGCTGGGGATAAACTGCAACTGAGGTACGTGCCCCTAGCGGGAACCGAACCCGGGTCTCTTCGGACCACAGGCTGACGCTCCAACTGCTGAGCCAAACTGGCCCAGGCGACCTAGCAAGGTTCTTGACATGGTGGGAGAGGGACTTGTATAAAGCTTATTTCTTTCTTCTCATTAAGGGGTTTCTAATCTCACAGATGGAATAAAAAAGACTTCAAAACAGAGAAACTCAAGACTTAGAAGAAAGAAAGAGATCAGTGTAGATTTGAGTAACTGAGGAAGGCTTTATTTAGGAGAAAGGATGACATGTTGAGAGGGGAGAGGACAGCATCTGGGAAGAGTGCTCTCTCCGAATTATGAAGGGGATGGTGGTACAACCAATTTGCCCGCATCTTGGAGTATATGTGTGTTGGAGACCAGACAAGAGTGAGGGAAGGGAGGACTTTAATTTTTCCTCTAATAGGTGGCGAGCAGCCAGAGAAGGTAGTGATGGGGTGGATGGAAGAGACACTCTGCCATGGATGGAACAGCCACAGAAATCTAGAGGTAAAATGTGCACACAGCAAAGACAGGAGATGAGACAGGAACTGGAACAAGGCCCACCTCACAGCAACCTTGGGGAGTAAATGAGATAGCAGTGTTTCTTTTACCTTCTGATGTTGGAGATGAAAGGAAGAGACCAAGATTTGTAGCTTAAATGAGGGGAGAAGGGCAGTGCCATTGACTGAAATAAGGAGGCTATAAGTGGGAAGGAAGGAAGACCAGTTTTGAAGTGAAAGTGATACATAGCTATGTATGAGAGAAGGGGAATATGGTCACATGATCATTTCAGTAGGTTGAGGAAGGGTGGGATTGGAGGTAGGTGTGGGACAGGTGTGGGATCTGAGGTAGAGGAGGTGGGTTCAAGCACACGTGGAAATGCAGACAGCAGTGCAGTGAGCCTCATGCTATCCCCCAACCTTGACAGGTACTGGCCTGTGAGCAGCATTGCTATTCTTTCCCCGGACTCACTTTTCCTCCTGAGCAAACCGCAGACATTGTAGCATTTTATTCATAGTTCCTTCAGTGTATGTCTCTAAAACAGGGCCTCTTAGAAGAAAAGAAGTTTGTGTTTTGAAGCTTTGCGATTCATGATTCTTTGCAGGAATGAGTATCTAGATAGAAGAAGAGAGGGTGAAAGACAAAATCTTGGAAAATGGCTAATGTTAATATTTTTACTTTTTTGTATTTAGAAATGGCCACATGCCCTGGCCTGTGTGGCTCAGTTGGTTGAGAGTACTCCAGTGTACCAAAAGGTCGCCGGTTCAATTTCCAATCAGGGCACATGCCCAGGTTGTGGGTTCGATCCCCGGTAAAGGTTCATACGGGAGGAAATCAATGTTTCTCTTTCTCTCTCTCTTCCTCTGTCTCTGAAATAAATAAAAACATATTTTTAAAAAAAGAAATGGCAACAAATATTTCCTGCCCACAAAATGTTTTTTAATTTGGCAGCAAAAACCACTCTAGTTTTCAGTTTTCCTTTTTCTCTTTCTTCCCAGGTTCACCTTCTGTGCCTGTTAGCAAATGGCTTCTATCGAAATAGCATCTGTAACCAGCCCGATCTGCAGGCCATTAGCCTCTCCATCATCCCAACTCACTTTACCACAGTGCTTCCTCAAGATGTGGATATCTGCTACCTTTCAAACCTGATGAAATGGTATGGCCTTCTGGCCTGTGTTGCACCACCTTGGTGTAGGATCTGTGTGTTTCTCAGAGGTTGGGTGCAGATCACTTCCACAGATATCTCCCAAGGTGATCCTGTATGCCAAGCAGTAGGCAAAGCACTGAAGATAGAGAAATGTCAGGCATGATCTCTGTCCTGGAAGAGCTCCTAGGTTGGTCGGGGTGATAAATACACCCCCAGGTAATTAGAGCAGTGTGACCGTTGCTCTGGAAGCAGTGTGCTGGATGCTGCAGGCACACAGAGCCAGGGCACTTATCTCCACTGGGGGGTCTCAGAAGGTTCCTGAGGGAGGTCAAGTCTGAATTGGGTCGTCAGTGATGAGTAGGAGTTAGCCAGAGGGGATGGGAAGAGTAGAACAAAGGCAGGCGAGGTTCACAATTTTCTTTCCAGAATCCCCCTTCTGCTTTTCTTGGCTATAAAGAACAGAGTTCCTCTTTGCTCTGACCTCTCACACAACGGAATGCCCGGCTTCTCTCCAGGTTCATTGGAACATTTACAGTAAACCCTGACCTTTCCATCAGTGAGCAAGACAGCCTACAGACTACATTGGAAAGGAGATTTGCGATTTACTCTGCACGAGATGATGAAGAATTGGTTCACGTAAGTGATTCTTCCTGGCAGCACTATTTTTATTAGTACTGTTAGCAAATGATGATGGCATTCGTGTGCCAGATACTATTCCAGGTGTTTTACATGTATTTCCTTATTCAGATCTTATAAATAATAGGTTCTAAAGCTCAAAGAGGCTAAGTAACTTTCTTAGGGTCACTCTGTTGGCAAGCATTGGAATCAGGTTTGGGACCAGTGTGTGAGCTGAAGGCCTACACTCTTTCTATTTCTTGGTGTCCTGGTATGTTAAAGCATTGAATTTTTGGTTAGGTGCCCTAGAATTGTTTCCATTAACTATTTAGAAATTGTGTTGGGAAATTCCAGGGAAATGTTTCAAATTGGCTGCCAAGATACTTAAGAAAATGTTTCCATACCTTCCAGTTTGGGTGATGGCTTTGGCAGGCAGCCATGCAATGAGGAGAGTTATATCTACCAAAAGGAGTCCTGGGGAAGAGCTTTTTTGTGTAGACAGGCTTTATCAAATGCTTGAAAATACCCTTAGGTAAGACTGTCTCAATAAGACAAAAACAGAGGTAGATATATGGTTTTATCCCTGGGAGATTCCTGTGAATACATACACTTGTACCTGAGCTTCAGATTCCCTGTTTGTTTAGGGAAAAACACGAGACATTTTGTATATTTAGAGGCTTAAGTGACTGGCAACTTTACCTCTCTTCTGATTTGGCTTGATAAAGTCTGAGATACCTAGCACAGCCAGTAATGCTACAATATCACCACCCAGAGGAAAACATTAATATTTGAGTATTGTCTTCCCAGACTTTGTTCCTCTGTATTTGTATACATATTTGTTTTTGCTTGTGGGGTTTTTATAAAGCAAAAAATATATAGGTTTTATTTTTTCTTTTAAGGTGAACAATTCAGTGATATATAGTGTATTCAGAGTTTTGTGCAAAAACCACTGTGTTTCTAAAACATTTTTGTTACCCCAAAAGGAAATCCTGTACCCATTAAACAGTTTCTGCTTATTCTCCCTCCTCCCATCTCCTCATGTACCTGGCAACCACCAATGTGCATTCTGTTTAATGATTTACATATTCTGGATATTTCATATAAGAGAAGTCATGCAACATGTGACATTTTGTGTCTGGTTTCTTTCACTTAGTATGTTTTCAAGGATCTATGTTTGTAGATTGTATCATCACTTCATTCCTTTATATAGCTGACTAATATTTCTTTATAAGGAAAGATCACATTTTATTTATTCATCAATTGATGGACATTTGGGTTGTTTACACCTTTTGGCTATTATGAAAAGTATTGCTATATACATGTGTCCATATATTTATTTGAATACTTGTTTTTAGTTCTTTTGGGTATATACCTGGGAGTCAAGTTGCTGCGTCACGTGGTAATTGTATGTTGAACGATTTGAGGAATTGCCAAATATTTCCACAGCATCTGCACATTTTACATGTCCAAGGGTTTCAGTTTCTCCAAAACCTCACCAATACTTGTTATTTTTCATATTTTTTATTATAGTCATCCGAATCGGTATGAAACAGTCTCTCATTGTGACTTTGCTTTGCATTTCCCTGGTAACTAATAATGGTTAGCGTATTTTCATGTGGGTATTGTCCATTTGCATATCTTTTTTTGGGAAATATCTGTTCAAGTCCTTTACTCATATTTTAATTGGGTTCTTTGTCTTTTTGTTACTGACTTATAAAAGTTCTTGATGTATTTTGGATACTAGACACCAATCAGATGTATGCTTTGCAAATATTTTCTCTCATTATATAGGTTGTTTTCGCATTTTCTGGATAAAGTCCTTTGATGTAGAAAAGTTTTAATCTTGAAAAAATCCAATTTTTCTATTTTTCTTTTGTTCTTTATACTTGTGTATACATTTTTGGTGGGACACCCTATATTTAGGTCTTTCATTCATTTTAAGTTAATGTTTGTATGTGATGTGCGGTAATGTTCAACATGATTCTTTTTTGCATGTGAGTATACAGTTGTCTCAGCATTATTTGTTAAAGGACTATTGTTTCAACTATTTGTCATATTATTTTCACTACTTGTTGAAGAGACAAGTTTTTTGATGGGGTTTGAATGGTCTTGGCACCTTGTCAAAAATCCATTGGCCATAGGTGTATGGGTTAACTTATGGCCCCTTAACTTTATTCCATTGGTCTACATGTCTATCCTTATGCCAGCACCACAGTTTTGAATATTATAGCTTTGTGGTAAGTTTTGAAACCAGGAGGAGTGAGTACAATTTTGTTCTTCATTTACAATGTTGTTTTGGCCAGGGACGAACCGCAACCGAGGTACGTGCCCTTGACCAGAATCGAACCCACAATTCATCGGTCTGCGGGCCAACGCTCTAAACACTGATCCAAACCAGCTAGGGCTCATTTCTGTTTTTAAAAAGCCATTGGAATTTTGATAGGGATTGCATTGAATCTATAGATTGATTTGGGTAGCATTGCCATGAAGACAGTATTATATCTTCCAATCACAAACATGTATATATTTCTTTTTATTTGTGTTTTTAATTTCTTTAAGCTGTGTTTTGTACTTTTCAGTGTACATATCTATCATCTCCTTGAATAAATGTTTTGCTAAGTTTTGGTTTTTTTGGTGCTCTTGTAAATGGTATTTTCTTAACTTCCTTTCTAGACTGTTCATAGCAAGTGAATGAGAACACAGCTGATTTTTTTGTGTTCAACTTTTATTTTTTGTTATTGATCTGAGAGAATGAGAGAGAGAGAGACATTGATTTGTTCCACTTATTTATGCATTCATTGGTTGTTTCCTTTTGTGCCCTGACCAGGTATTGAACCCACAACCTTGGCATATTGGGACAGTGCTCTAACCAACTGAGCTACTGGCCAAGACATTTTTTTTTCTATATTGATTTTTAGAGAGAGGAACAGAGAGAGAGAGAGAAACATCGATGAGAGAGAACATTGATTGGTAACCTCCAGCATGCCCCCTGACTGGGGATTGGGCCCACAACCTGGGCATGTGCCCTGACTAGGAATTGAACCAGGGACTTCTTGGTACGGGGGTCGATGCTCAACCACTGAGCCACACCGGCCGGGCCCTTAATTCTTTTCTTAGGATAAATGTATTATCCTTTTTCATTATAGATATTTTTACTGATTCTCCGGGCCCTGCAGCTCCCAACGCGACTGGTATTGTCCCTACAGCCACTTCCTCTAAAGTTATCAGCAGCCAAGGTGAGATTCTTGGGGCTTCTGGAGAAAAGGGTAGTTGGTCAGAGAGAAGTAAGAAATGATCAGACTTTTAAAAGATTGGTCATTAGACTGTTCTTAAGGGTCGGCATTCATGGAGCATGGGTTCCTTTGAACCTGCTTTGCACATACACTGTGTTGGCAAGATTGAACACACAAGTGAATTATCTAGCAACTTGATCTTTGTGTATGCAGAAGGGCCTGTGAAAGGTCTCAGCTCCTTGGTGCTATAGTTTCTGTTCTGTAAAACAGTAGAATGATACCTGTCCTCATCAGCATTGTGGAGTGATGATGGGTGAAGGACTCTCAGTTCTGCAGTCATCTAAGAAGGAGGCTGAACACTATACTCACTGGGGTGTTGGCATTGTTTAACACTTGATGGTCCAGAAATTGAATTTAATATTTTCTATATTCTTTTTTTTTATCCTCACCCGAGGTCATTTTTCCATTTTTTGTTCAGGTAGAGTGGGAGGGGGAGAGAGGAAGAGAGAGAGAGAGAGAAAGAAACATCGACATGGAAGGGACACATCGAGTGGCTGCCACCCGCACGATCAACCAGGGCCGGGGACAAACTGCAACCGAGGTACACGCCCTTAACGGGAACCGAACCTGGGTCTCTCTGGACCGCAGGCCGACGACGCTCTAACCGCTGAGCCAAACCAGTCAGGGAAATTTCTGTATTCTTAATGCCATAACTTTATTAAGTCCATCAGTATTTGTTTGCAAAATGCATTATGTGCAAGGTGGGTATTATTGTTGCTGATAAAAATGAGGCTCAGAGGTTACATAATTTACCTAACTCATATAACACGAGAAATAACTTTGAATTCAGGTTTGTCTGTTTGCACATCCTGTGCTCTTTTCCCTGTGCCACACTTCAGAGTAAAGAGGATTATATTGTATTTTAGTGAATACTTTCCTACTACCCAAAAGGATAGCCAATTGATCACTGTCTAAGCTAGAGACATCTTGTGTACACTGGTAGTCTTGCCAGCAACTTAGCCTTGTTAGATTACAAGGTCTTTATCCTATTATTAGCAAAAAAAAAAAAAAATTTCTATTTTGTTTAAGGGAAAGAAACCTAAAGAGAGATCCCCAGAGGGTCCTGGAGGCTCGTCAGAAACTTCCAGCCAAGTCTCAGAAAACCAAACCAAACCAAAGACCAGCAGAAAAAACAGAAAAGAGGACACTTCTTCTAAGGGCACCAGCCGTCCAAATGCCAAAGGGAAGAGGAGCAAGGCAGCAGCCATCGGGAAGAAAGGGAGAGAGCCCTCCTCCAGCGGGGAAGAAGAGGGCAAGGCAGAAGAGCAGGCTGAGGAAACCCAGAGATATATGCGTGGTCGGAAGCGGCAGGTGGCCACCAGGGTGTCTTACAAAGAGGAGAGTGGGAGTGACAAGGCCAGCAGTGGCTCTGACTTTGAGCTCTCCAGTGCGGAAGCCCGTCATTCATCTGATGAGGATTCTGAGCCTGGCCTTCCAAGGCAGAGGAGGGCCCTGGCCCCTCAGAGGACAAAGGCAGGGTCCAAAAATGAATCCAGGACCCAGTGTGGAAGTCACTCTAAGCACCCTGGCTTTCCAGCAGCATCCACAAGTTCTTCAAGCAGTAAGAGTAAGAGAGGCAAGAAAATGTCCAGTGATGGTGAGGGGCCAGAAGAAAGGAAAGCAGCTGGTATAGACCAGTGGCTAGAGGTGTTCTGTGAGCGGGAGGAAAAGTGGGTATGTGTGGACTGCGTGCATGGTGTGGTGGGCCAGGCTTTGACATGTTACAGATACGCCACCAAGCCCATGACCTACGTGGTGGGCATTGACAATGATGGCTGGGTCCGGGATGTCACCCAGAGGTATGACCAAGCCTGGATGACAGCGACTCGCAAGTGCCGAGTTGATGCCAAGTGGTGGGCAGAAACCTTAAGACCCTACCAGAGCCCATTGGTGGAAAGGGAAAAGAAAGAAGACTTGGAGGTAAGGCTTTGGCTGCCACGGGCTCAAGACCCATTTGAGTTGTTAAAATTATTCCCATATTTGAGCATTTTATGTTTGCCCAGCCCTGTGTTGGGTATTTTTAGTGTTTATCTCATTATATAGTGTTATCACAACACTATAAAGCTGGGGTTATTACTGCCTTAATTTTACCAGTTAAGAATTTAGGATCCAAGAAATTAGTATTTGAACATAGGTCTTTCTGGCTTTGAAGCCTGTATACTTTTTGTTATTGTCCGGTTATAAATTTGGAGCTTTAAAATGATTTATGCAAGTGAAAAAGAAAAAACTTACTAATATAATTGTTGCCTCCCCACCCCCACCCGAACCTCTTTTCTGGTCATACGCACTCAAACAAGCACATACACAAACAACCCTCTATAGATCTAGAACATTCACCTCCTGAAAGGAAGGAACTGAGGATGAGGAAATGCCTTCAGTCTGTTAAGACACACTGGGAAGCCAACTTCTAAGCTGAAAGAGGTGTGTGTCGCTGGGTTTTAGGAGGAGGGCCTGAGCTGCCTGTGCACGCACAGCAGTTGGGTTTGATTGGGCTCTTTCAGCATGTCCACATGGGAATATGCCCGGTTTTGCTGAAGAATTATTCTCAGTTCCTCAGATGGGTGAAGCATGGGTTTATTTAGCATTCTCTGTATCGGTGCAGTTCATCCTGTACTGAGAGTTTTCTCTGGAGGTGTTCCTGGTTCATTTTACTGAAAAATGGCAGAGTAGATGGGAATTGTGACTGACCTAATAAAGTCTTTGTACTGGAAGCTAACCATATGGAGGGCCTATCCTACTTCTGGCTACTCTGCTTTGCCTGTTCTCACTAATATATTGGAGGGGTTTCAAGAACTTCTAAGGGACAGCTTAGGAGACCTTGGTGAATAGGATATTAATTACAGCAGTGGACTTGTCCACTGAAAAATCAGATTCCTTTTAAAGAAGTTCTAAGAGAATGTGTATTCAATTATTGTAGACTAAAAAAAGTCACAGGATATAAACAATTCATTTTGGTTTCCTGTGAGCAGTCAAGAAGTAGAAAAGTGATGTCACTTTGAGATAAGACCTCTTTCCTGAAGAAAGCTGTTTTTGTTTCTTGAAGCTCCTTAATAGAGTGGGCATTCAACTGCTAGGGCTGTCTGAGGAATAGGTTAGATGACTTTGCAAAGTTGCCATGAGCCACAGAATTACTTGATTCTTCATAGCTTTTGATTGAATCTAAATCCTACTTAACACCAGAGCTACAAAGACAATATTACAGTCATTGGTGCTCATGAAACCTCTGCTCTTCCATCTGTTGTTTGAACAAGTGGTCTGAGGATTGCCCACATCAAATCTCACTTCCTCTTCTATACCTGCTCAACATTGTCTCTGTGGCCTTTGCAGTTTCAGGCAAAGCACCTGGACCAGCCTTTGCCCACTGTCATTGGCACATACAAGAACCACCCTCTGTATGCCTTGAAGAGGCATCTACTGAAATACGAGGCCCTCTATCCTGAGACGGCCTCAATCATTGGATATTGTCGTGGAGAAGCTGTCTATTCCAGGTGCGTGAGGCAGGCTGGTGCCCTGGTGGGCTTCCTGATGACCTGGGATTATCAACCTCCTTCTGGGTCGAGGGGCTGGTAATGTCATTATCTCATTTGTCAAACAGGATTGGCTGTATAGTGGGTGCATGTGCTGTTGAGTAGGGGGATATGTAGAAGAGATTAAAGCTTGGAGATTAAAACAAGAAATAAAAGATAAACAGGAGAGGAAATGTTATAGGGGAAAATAAAAAGTAGAACAATTAAGGTTTAGGGCAATATAAACACACCCCTCAAATATAAGTTAAAAACATAGAAAAGGAAGAAAGGATTTTGTAATGAAAGTTAAAGTGATTGGATATTTTTAATGGTCACAGCTTCAGTTTGGGAAGATGAAAAAATTCTGGAGATGGGTGGTGGTGATGGTTGCACAACAATGCGAGAGTGCTCAATGCCACTAAAAGTGATTGTGATGATTATTTTTATGTTGTATATATGTTATCCACAATAAAAAGAAACTACCAAAGAAGGGGTGAAGGGAATAAGAGTAGAAAATAAATGTAAAATATATACAAAATTAAAACTGAAAATATTTTAATATAAATTTAAAGTGAAGGGGAAAAAAAATAGAAGCAGAACTTTTAAGAAATAGCAGTAGAGCTTTTTGGCCAGAACCTCTGTCTTCCAGTAATTCGCCAAAATAACTAACACAAAGGGAAAGAGGAGAGGCACTCACTGTATGTTCTCTAAGCCTTTTAGACAACACAGAGTTCCTTTGGCCACATACATGTAAATCTACAAGAAAGATTGTTGTGGACATAAAGGGAATGGACACTGTTCAAAAAGGAATGCCCCACAAATGTTACCATGGCAAAACTGGAAGAGTCTACAGTGTCACCCAGCATGTTGTGAACAAACAAGTTAAGGGCAAGATTCTTGCCAAGAGAATGAATGTAGTATTGAGTATATTAAGCACTCTAAGAGCCAAACTAGCTTCCTGAAACATCTGAAGGAAAAGGATCAGGAAAAGGAAGAAACCAAAGAGAAAGGCACCTGAATTCAACTGAAGCATCAGCCTGCTCCACCCAGAGAAGCGCTCTTTGTGAGAACCACTAGAAAGGAGCCTGAGCTGCTGGAACCCATTCCCTGTGAATTCATGGCATGATCCATGTGAAAGAAAAAAACCTCTGTACTGATAAAAATGTTTCTCTTAATTGAGTAGAAGTATGGTGTCCCTTCCCCCCACTAAAAATAAAGAAAACTTTGTGTGCTAAAAAAAGAAATAGCTGTAGAACAAAAACAAAAGATATGATTTTTTTAAAACATTGAAAATACAAGATTAAAAAATAGGGGATGTTCTTAAGAAGTGGGAAAAGAAAGAGGAAAAAAACGAAAATACAGAGAAATTCACATGATTAGATGGTTTGAGTCCTCTGACTAGGGACTACTTCCTGCATGTTAGTCCTGCAGGGAGTCATCCTGGACCCTCTGTTCAGGGTCTGTGTTGGAAAGTAGAATTGCAAGACTTGGATGCTGCTCTCAACCTCTGGAAGGAGAAGGAAGCCAGAGGATCTCTCTTCGTAATCACAGGCTGCCAGGAATTTGTTTCATGTGCATGAATCTTAATTCCATGGTAATTTATTGACGTAATTATAATTTTCATGTAGTCGTCTTTAGGATTCACCACACCTCTGGACACTCATCCCTCACCCCATGGTATTTAGCAGCAGACCAGACCCTGGGCAGGCACTTGCTCAGTGGTGAGGAAATGTGCCTTCGTTGCTGTAACTTTTACCTCCTCCCCTACAGGCTGTGAAGGGACTCTCCCTGTTGGAGAGGTGAGTGTATGGCACAAAGCCAAACACAGAGGCAGTAGCTCTATTTAGATTAGGGTTTATAAGTGGACTCACACACCCACCAAGACAGGAAGTCCACGTTTACTGTTTGCCTGAGGCAGACCCCCTGGTTGCCTCAGGAGCAGAGTCTGAGAAAAGAGTATCACAGGCTGTGCTCTTCCTCCGAGGAGGTCTTAGGAGCACCTGAGTCTTCAGGGTTCCTGCCCATACTCTGCTCCATCAGACAGGATGTGAACTGAGTTACTCCTTTGTCTCCCCCTGTTGGCTCTGATAGGGATTGTGTGCATACTCTGCACTCCAGGGACACATGGCTGAAACAAGGAAGAGTGGTGAAGCTTGGAGAAGTGCCCTACAAGGTAACTGGAGCTGGGTGGGTGCCCTGAGGACGGTGGGGAGGCTCAGGACCAAGGCTGAGTGGAACCGATGAGAGCAGAGGAGGGGACTAAGGGCTGTCAAGTACATGCCCAGGATGGGAACCCAGGTCTGACTTTTCTAGCTTGAGAAGGATGAGAGGAGGAGAAAAGCATTTAAATGAAGTCTAACTTTAATGAGGAATTTGTAAAAGATGGATCTTCCAGAGCATGCAAGAAATCTAAGCAAAAAAGTACCATCATTCCCTGGTATGTGCTCAAAGGCTGTGTAGATTAGGACTGTGTTATTGAGTTCCAAGAGGCCAAAGCCCTGCTTGATGTAGACGCATTCATCAGTTATCAGTGTCCCGCTTGGTAATGTACCATGTATTTTGCTCTAAATATTCTCCACTTAGTCTCAACAACCATAGCAGTTAGTATTATGCCCATTTTACACATGACAATAGCAGTAGTATGATGATGCCCATTTTACACATGACAATAGCAGTTAGTATGATGATGCCCATTTTACACATGACAATAGCAGTTAGTATGATGATGCCCATTTTACACATGACAATAGCAGTTAGTATGATGATGCCCATTTTACACATGACAATAGCAGTTAGTATTATGATGCCCATTTTACACATGACAAAATGGAAGCTCAGGAAAGGGAATTACTTGTATAAGGCCTTACAGTTAGGAAAATGGAAGTGCCCAGACAACAATCCCAGGTCCTGCCTCTACTCCATTGTTATTTCTCTCTCACTGTGCTGCTGTACCAAGTCAGGTCAGCTGCCCACAAGAAATACAGATTCAGTACAGTACCACGAAGGTTTGTCACAGGACGCATGGCCCTGTTCAACCAGGGGAGGACAATGACCAGTCACAGAGACACATCTGTTCTTTTTTGCCAGATCCCAAAAGGAGCCCTTTCGGTTGTGAGACTCTGGGGAACTTGTTGGGGAGTGGAGAGGCCTTAGTTTGGTAGGAGAGGGCTGTTGGCGTTGGGAGCAGGTTACTGCCCAAAGCAGGCTTGAGTGCATTATACTGTCTGCTGGGACCTAGAGGACGCTGGGATTTCCCATAGACCCTCACCTTTTTTTTATGCTCTTTATTCAAATAACCAATCTCTTCACTCTGGAATGGCCCTGTCTGGTTGAAATACAGGGTGAGCCACAAACTTAAATTTTTAGTAGCCATATTGAAGGCTTAAAAAAAGAAACAGGATTCTAACATAATTAATTATTTTAGAAAATATTTGAAATATTGTCATTTCAACATGGAATATTTTGGAATGTTAATGAGATATTTTACATTTTTTTTATAATAGGGCTTTGAAATCTAGTCTTTCATTTTCAGTCCACTTCAGTTGCCCGGTCGGTGTGGTTCAGTGGTTGAGCATCGATCCATGCACCAAGAGGTTGTGGGCCCAATCCCCAGTCAAAGGGGGGGCATGCAGGAGGCAGCCAATCAATGTTTTCTCTCATCAGTGTTTCTGTCTCTCTTTCCCTCTTCCTTCCTCTCAAAAATAAATAAAGAAAACATAACTCTGGCTGGTTCGGCTCAGCAGTTGGAGTGTCAGCCCACAGACCAAAGAGTCATGGGTTGGATTCTGATCAAGGGCACATACCTCAATTGTCCCCAGCCCCGGTCGTAGTTGTGAGGGAGTCAACCAATCAATGTGTCTCTATCACATCGATGTTTCTCTCTCTCTCTCTCTTTCTCCCTCTCCCTCTCCCCCTCCTTCCCTCTCCCTCTGACTGAAGATAAATGGGAAGATATCCTCCAATGAGGATTTAAAAAATAATAATAAATAGCCCTAGCCAGTTTGGCTCAGTGGTTAGAGTGTCAGCCCTCAGACCAGAGGGTCATGGGTTCGATTCCCAGTCAAGGACACATACCTGGGTTGCAAGTTCAATCCCCAGCACCAGTTGGGGTCATGTGGGAGGCAACCAATCGATGTGTCTCTTCGCATCGATGTTTCTCTCTCTCTCTCTCTCTCTCTCTCTCTTTCCCCCCTCCCTTCCACTCTCTCTAAAAATCAATAGAAAAATATCCTCTGATAAGGATTAACCAAAATGAATTAATGAAAAAAGTTATATTCAATACATTTCAGTTGTGACTGGCCACATTTCAAATGTCTGATGCCTATCAGCACAGTTCTATCATAACCCTAAATCTCAAGTCCTTTTGTTCTGAAACCTACTGTCCCAGCTCCAACTCCTGCCTTATTTTCTCGCTTGGATCACAGCCACCTTTAGCCCTTAAGTTCATTTTCAATATCGCTGTCATAGGATCTTCCTGAAACACAGAGTTGCATATGACACCTCCTGGGTAGCTCACCCTCACCCCACCTAGAGTCGCATGTGGTACAGAACCTGTGCTGCTCTGGTGCCCACTTCCTCTCTAGCCACATTTCCTCCTCCATGCCAGATGACTTCTGCAGTCCCCGGATACTCATGGTCCCAAGTGCCTTTCTCCCCAGCCCTGTCACTTGACCAATCCTTCTTTCGCTCTTTCAGATTCAGCTGAGATGGGGCCTGTTCTGAACAGCTTGTCTTACTCTCTCCTCAGGGCTGGTGATGAGTCCTGCCCCTGGGCACCATTCTACCTTGCACTCTGCACACTGAATTGTAGTCTTCTCCATCTTCCCACAGGAGCCTCTGCTCCTTAAGAACAAAGACTACCACTTCTCTGCCTCTAATGACTGGTGCCACGGTGTGGTCTGTGATAGATGCTCATAGGGTCTTTATGTAACAGCACTGGATGAATGGCTTCCCGAGTAAGGGACTGTCAGCCCCACAGGGGTGACAGAGGTGGAGTGCCCAGTTACCATGACAGAAATGCCCAGTAGAATAGTGGTCAACAGTCTGCAGCTCACGGGTCACGTCCAACCTGGGTCCTGTTTTGGTGGGGCCGTTAGTCTCAGAATGGCTTTTACTTTTTTTGTGGATTGTAAAAAGAAATAAAAAAGATGCAACAGAAGCTGTATGTGACCCTATAGAAACAGTTTGCCAACCCCTGCAGTAGAGGCGGCCCAGGCCCAGGAGCCGATCCTTAGCCCATGCCTGTGCCACTCCTCCTCGTAGAAGTTACACCACCTCTTCCTTCTTGCAAGATCTCCACTCCTTTTACCCCTTCACTCCCCAGTGAAAAATTTGGTGTTGGCCACTAGACCTCTGTAGGGGTGTGTGCTCGGGGCCCCACACTGTCAGTGCCTTTCCGGGTACGTGGCACAGTTAGTTTTCTGGAGTTAAATCCTGGCCCTGTCATTCACCTGGTCATGGGATCTTAAGTGGCATCATTTCAGTTCCAGTTTCCCTTTCAGTGATGAAAGTATAAAACAAAGTATAGTAATCCCCCCTTACCATGTTTTCACTTTCTGCTCTTTCGGTTACCCGCAATCAACCACAGTCTGAAAATATTAAATATAGAGCACTGAGAACAGTGCCTGGGACGGCGAGCAGTCTGTAGATGTTAGCCGGTGGTACTAGTAACGGTACTAGCAGTCATAAAGGGAACAGAAAGCACACCCATCAGGTTGGTTTTGTAACAGGTACAAAGCATTGAGCACAATGCCTGTTACAGTAAACACTCAGGAAGTAGCCTTTGCTGTAAACTGGCTGTTCCCTCTGGTGTAGATGGTGAAAGGCTATTCCAACCGGGCCCGGAAAGCCCGCCTTGCTGAGCCCCAGCTGCAGGACCATAATGACCTGGGCCTCTTTGGCAAGTGGCAGACAGAGGAGTACCAGCCACCTGTGGCTGTGGATGGCAAGGTAAGGGCAATGCTCAGTGGGGTCAGGACCAGGCTGCTTTATTCTGCCACTGACCAGACCTGGCATGCCACCCTCTGCAGGTCCCCCGGAATGAATTTGGGAATGTGTACCTCTTCATGCCCAGAATGATGCCTATTGGCTGTGTCCAGATGCATCTGCCCAACCTGCAACGCGTCGCTCGTAAGCTGGGCATCGACTGTGTCCAGGCCATCACCGGCTTTGATTTTCATAATGGATACTCCCATCCTGTGTGCGTGAGGGGCCTTCCACGGAGGCTGCAAGGAGGGGCAGGAAGGTCACAGTGAAGTGGGTGGGAAATTAATGTGTTGGTGGAGGGTGAAGCCCAGTGGCTCTTACTTTCCAGGTTTTACTCTAAATTTTCAAATTCAGCCTTAATACTTTTCCTTCTACTTTTACACTTTGATATTTTTACTCTGGTTTCCATCCAGAGGCAGCAAAACCAGTGAAGCCAGCATCCTAATAACGTTAGTTTAAAACACTGTTTTCTGGGAGTGGTCACAGGTGACCTAAAGGGGTCAGCATCCTCCTGGTTGGTGACCTCTGTCCTCATGTGGTAGGGGCAGGCAAGGGCTCTCATCCCACCTCTTAGGCAGGGCCTGGAGAAGAAGCAGTGCCAGTGTCCATAGGCTTTCCCTCTGCATGAGTGGTATCTGTTAGCTGCTGGGGCCAGGACTGCAGACCAGCTGACTCAGGAAATCCTTTGGTGCCTATGGTCCTCCACAACGGGAGGAGGAGAGGCCGGAGCAGGAATCGGGCTCAAGAACAAACCACCCATGTTGTATCCCCACAGAACTGACGGGTACATAGTCTGCGAGGAATACAAAGATGTGCTCCTGACTGCCTGGGAAAATGAGCAGGCACTCATTGAAAAGAAGGAGAAGGAGGTGAGCAGACTGGCCAGGGTTGGCCTGGAGGGGGGGGGGGGGGTGGAAGTACTTGAGATGGGAAAGCAGAGTGGTAGGGGAAAGCAAGCACACAGGGCGGGCAGGTGCCTCACTTGCAGCAACTATTAAAGGAGAGTCTGGCCCAGCCACTGTGGCTCAGTGGATTGAATGCCATCCCATGGATGAGAGATCCTGGTTCAATTCCCAGTTAGGGCACATGCCCAGGTTGCCTGCTCGATCCCCAATAAGGGTCGTGCAGGAGGCAGCCAGTTGATGTTTCTCACATCAGTGTTTCTATCTCTCCCTCTCTGTCTAAAAAAAGTAAGTAACAATATTTTTTTAAAAGTCTGTGTACTTTGAAGCTCTTTTTGGCTTCCTGACTCCATCAAAGGCACCCTAGGGAGCTAGCACTGGAAAAAACGGTCCTGCCTCCACCTCAAAATCCACTATCTGCCTGGATCCCAGCTCCAGGGACAACTGCCCTGCTGCTGACACCTGCCTCTGTTAAAAGAAATTGTCTATGACCCAGGTCTGGAGAACCTCCTATCCTAAAAATTGTAGCATTGGAAACAATTAAAAAGAGGCTTTTGTTTTTTGGGGTTTTTTTTAATCCTCACCCAACGACATTTTTGCATTTATCTTTCAGATAGAGCAGGAGGGAGAGAGGGAGGAAGAGAGAAACATCGATGTGAGAGAGACACATCGAGTGGCTGCCACCCACACGACCCCAGCTGGGGCCGGGGACAAACTGCAACCAAGTACGTGCCCTTAGTGGGAACCAAACCCTGGACTCTCCGGTCCAAGGGCCGATGCTCTAACCGCTGAGCCAGACCGGCCAGGGCGAGGCTTTCATTTTTTATGCCTTTCACGCCTTTTATAAATTACTCCAATTTTAAAACCGAGACTTGGTGTAGTTAAGAAACTTTTTGTAACCAAAATGGTGTGTGTGTGTGTGTGTGTGTGTTCACAGGTTCCATTTTGATATTTTTCCTGAAAATGGCAGTGCTCACCATTTTATGTTTACCTGTTTCATTTTTTGCTGTAGAAAAGGGAGAAGCGGGCTCTAGGAAACTGGAAGCTGCTGGTTAAAGGACTGCTCATCAGGGAGAGGCTGAAGCTTCGCTATGGGGCCAAGGTCAGTGTGGGCCCTTTGTAAAGAAGACAAGCCTGGAGTGGGGAAGGGGGGACTCAGAAATCACTGGCTCACATTCTGCCCCGACATCAAATCATAGATTGATCAATTTTATGTTTTGATCAAGCCCTGTTTCCCAAGCCCTGTGTCCTTACCTTGTTGGGAAAGGTGTTCCTGGAGTCAGCCTCAGCTGCCTCTTCTGGCCCCCAGCCCTGCCCCATCCTCTGTTGTGCTCCTGTCTGCACAAGTGAGGAAGTGCCTGCTCTGGTGCTAAACCCACAGAGAAAGAGAGGAGTTCTCTATTTCTGTGTTTCACCCACCACTCAGCCTTGTGGGGCTCCCAGTGCCTGTGATCATCCCTCAGGACAGGCATACTCTCGCACCTGCCATGTGGCAGGCCACCTGGGGAAACGGGTGCAAATTTGCATGCAGGCCCCAGACAATTATATGGTGTGTTCAGTACTGCAGACAGCAGAAACATGCTCGGAGCAGCTGTCACCACACCATTCTGACCTCACATGCTGCCTATTTGCCTCGAAAACATATTTTTGTCATGCTTCTCCCTCAAATCCTTTCAGTGACCCCTTCACCTGGCTTCATGTCTGGCTGGTTCCTTCCCACCTCTGTGCTTTCCCCCTCTGCATCCTGCTCCCCGCCCCGGCTGGCTCAGACTCAGGGAGTGCCTCCTCAGAGCACTGAGCACTTTTGTTCCGAAATGAAATAATACATGCAAAGCACCGTCCGTAGTAATCTCCTAGATCTGATTGTACACTCCTTAAGGGCAGTTTCCTGCCTAGACATCTTGGCATTCCTTCATCACATAAGTTACCAGTACCTGCTTGGAGGAGTCCTCGGTCTGAGGAAGACAGAAGGCAGGCCTTAGTTTTCCCCCAGCCCCACGCGGTCCCCTTGTCCTCCCAGAGCCACACAACTCCAGGCAGGCTGTCGCTGGAATCCTTACCACCTTGGGATGGTGCTTCCACATACCTATTTGGTCACTGACCTATTTCCCTGCACTGCCCCCACCTCTCCAGAGTGAGGCAGTAGCTCCCCACACAGCAGGAGGTGGACTCTCTTCTGATGAAGAGGAAGGAACCAGCTCTCAAGCAGAAGCAGCAAGGATCCTGGCTGCTTCCTGGCCCCAAAACCGAGAGGCTAAAGAAGAGCAGAAGCTGAAGTGCCCTAAGAAAACCAAAAGGGAAAAGGCGGCAACTTCCCACCTGTTCCCATTTGAGAGGTTATGATGTGAGTGGCCACCTCATGATAGGATCTGCCCCATGGCCTGACACCTGCTGCAGGGGCTGCCCAGCCCCTGAGGCAGTGGTGTCTCCACTAAGAAGGCAAACAAGCAGTATGAGCTACAAACAAGGATCCAGGGGACAGGAGGGTCCAATTGGCAGATCTGGTCTGGCCCCAGTCCTTGTCAGATTCACTCAGTATAGGGCCTTTAATCCCACACCCTATGCCTTGAGCTATGGAATACTTCCCATCCTACACATAGACCTGGTTCTTCCCATCTTTGGAAACATGAGTCAATTTTTTATAGAAACCACTGGGAAATTTTCGCATGGTGGTGCATTAGGAATGTACCAGTCCTTTTTTCCAGGCAGATTCTTCATCTGTCAGACACTTGTGCTCTTGCCTCTCTTGCAGACTTCAGACCCTCTCTGCAGGCCACTCATTTCCCTCAGTTAGGTTTACTAATAGTGCCTCATGCTGCCTCTTTATGGTATGGGAAGCACAGGTCATCTCAGATTGTCGTCTTGTTGGGATCTACTTTTCAAAGTTACATTTTATGATGGCAGAAGACTAGAATTTAGAATTAAGAGCCAAAATCAGGAAGAACAAAAAGGGAAAACACTAACTCAGAATTAAAGAAATATTACTAAAAGTGGATCAGTGTTAAACTAGAATTTCTTTGTTACTGGATAAATTTTATAAGGTTGTATATACTGTAGATATTTAGGAGAAATAACGTTTTGAGAAAAATAAACCATTTATCCTAAAGACTCAGCTCTATATTTTCTTTCATTGTACATCAGCTAAGAAAACACAGTAACAATGACTTGTATACATGTTGAAACTACATTAAAGATAAGATTTTGTTTTCATGTAGGCTAGGAACTTATTAAACACATGGAATTTTTTCTATGTTTAAGCAAGGAGGTATTATATCTTTGACAAGAGCCATTAAAAATTACAATCAGCCCTGGCCAGTATGGTTCAGTGGTTAGAGCGTCGGCCTGCAGTCCAGAGAGACCGGGTTCGGTTTCCGCTAAGGGCACGTACCTCGGTTGCAGTTTGTTCCCGGCCCTGGTTGGTCGTGAAGGTGGCAGCCACTCGATGTGTCCCTTTCACATCGATGTTTCTACCTCCCTCCCTCCCTCCCACTGTATCTGAACAAAAAATGGAAAAATGTCCTCAGGTGAGGATAAAAAAAAAAATTACAATCAGCCCGGCCAGTATGGCTCAGTGGTTGGGCATCAACCCATGCACCAAGAAGTCGCTGGCTCGATTCCTGGTCAGGGCACATGCTCAGGTTGGGGGCCTGATCCCCAGTGCGGGGCACGCAGGAGGTGGCCAGTCTGTTCTCTCTTATCGATGTTTCCATCTCTCTATCCCTCTCCCTTTCTAACTCTCTCTAATATCAATAAAGACAAAGAAATTTTTTATTTTTTTCTAAGTTTCAATCAGTTTTATCCAAGGGAAACAAAACACTTGAGGTGTGACTCATATGCACAAAAGCCTGGTTGGGAGGCTCTTGTTGAGAAACAAACAGGGGTTGCCATGGAAACTGCAAAGCTTCTCACTTCCTGCACCAGATCCCATCCTCTACTAGAGGTAAGCAACTTGTGTTCTGGGAATTCAGTCCAGCATTACCATGTCTCTGCAGAAATAACTTGTTTTCCAGGCAGATGCCAGCTCCTAGGCATTATGGAAGTTAAATAAAACTTTCAGTTTTGAGAAATACAACAATGTTTTGGAAAGTTATCACTCACCTGCTTCAAATCTTGTAACATAAAAACTATTCATATTGCTAACTTCAGAGTGGACGATTAGCAGCAGTCCATTGCTTCAGAATAGGAGGCAAAAAGAATGAAAAGTTCATGTGTCACATGTGTTTGGCATTTCATGGGCTCTTCCAGTTAGTCCTCACAGCAGACTTGTGGTGTAGAATGGCATTGTCCCCATTTTACAGATGAGGAAACAGGTTCAGAGACTATTGATTTTCCCAATATCACACAGCCAGTCAGTGGCCAGCTTGGGACTGGAATTCAGGTCTATGCCAATCCAAAGCCAATGATGCCCTTTGCACTATATTGGCCTGTGGCCCTGTCCCATGTCTTCTAGCACATTCTGAAGATGGGTGAAGTATGAGTCATTTACTTTAAAACCATCCAAAACAGCCCTGGCCGGTTTGGCTCAGCAGTTAGAGCGTCAGCCTGCGGTCCAGAGAGATCCGGGTTCGGTTCCCGCTAAGGGCATGTACCTCGGTTGCAGTTTGTCCCCGGCCCTGGTTGGTCGTGCGGGTGGCAGCCACTCGATGTGTCCCTTTCACATCGATGTTTCTCTCTTTCTCTCTCTTCCTCTCTCCCTCCCACTCTACCTGAACAAAAAATGGAAAAAATGTCCTCGAGTGAGGATTAAAAAAAAAAAAAAAACATCCAAAACAAAGTAGGCTTTGGTGTTTTAAGACTTCTAAGTGCTAGAAATATTGAATTGCCCTTGAAATCTATTTTAACCACTAAAAACAACTTAGAACTCAGTCTAAGATTTGTTTTGTTTGTCCTGAATTTTACAGCTGAATTAAGATAGAAATTTCAGAAAGAATACAAAAACAACAAAAGGGATAATGGCAAAGTCCTATAAAAGATAGTTAGAAATTTATTTTGATTTTTCTATCAAAAATACAAAGATAATACAATTTCATGATAAAGAACACTTGAAATTGGCAGTAATTTAAAATCTATACAGACCAAATCCCAAGGATTTTATATGGGCAGTAAAACCTTGATGTAAAGGACTAATTCAGGTGAGGAGGTATCTGTTAAAGCCCAAAGTCCATTATATAATAAAGTACGTTTTCCAAATACATGTGTTAAAAAATGACAAATTAGCCTGGCCAGTGTGGCTCACTGGTTGAGCATCAACCCATGCACCAAGAGGTCACCAGTTCGATTCCCGGTCAGGGCACATGCCCAGGTTGTGGGCCCAATCCCCAGTGGGGGGCATGCGGGAGGTGGTCAGTCAGTATTCTCTCTCAATGTTTCTCTCTCCCTTCCTCTGTAAAAATCAATAAAGAAAAAAAAATTTTTTAATTGTCAAATTACTTTACCTGTTTTTATGTAGATGTTTGTGTAATTAAAATTAAGTATGTTTGAAAAGTTTAATGTCACAGAAAAGTTTTCTATATGTATTACTGTAATTTTAAATCTATACTGAATAGGCCTAGTAAATGCATATATTCACCAATCACCGCAAGTAAATGCACACAGCTAGGGCGAGGCGTGGCGCACGTCAGAATTTCTATTAGCTGTCAGAACATTAGCTGGCATACGTTGGGACACCAGAACCAATTACTGAAAGTGATGTGGTGTGATAACATGCTAATCATTCGCTGAACATTTACAGGCAGTGACTCTTGGATTTAAACATGTAGACTATGGTTATAGGTATGTTGTACTGATTAATATCAGCAAAATTACCAATGTTTTTTCCAACATATGGCCTATTTGCTAAAATCTGTTAAAAATAACTGAATAAAAAACAACTTGTTGATTTAATTATAAGCAAATTAACAGGGTGTTAATTGTCACATGATATACAGACTGGAAATTTTGCCTGTTAAATCCAAAGTTCGTTAAATCAAGGGTTTACTGTACTGTATTTTCCAAAAGCATCCTTTGAAGGTTAGAGAATCACTGAAACTGCTCATGATGAATAGCAGTGAACTATTTCAGTCCTAAAACTCATAAGTCATCTCTGAGGCCAGCTGTCTTTACCATGAAGAATGTCTTTGTAACACAGATATAACAGGACTAAGGGAGAGACTATTAGATCACTATTTTCAGAAGTTCTGACCCCCTATTCAACTACCAAATACTTGCTAAAGCAGCCACTCCCAGCAAGGCAGAACAGTTTCCAAGTAGTGAAAAGATAAAAGATACACAAAGAATCTTCTAGGACATCAAGGTTACGACATACTTTCTTTCAAATGGTGTGAGAGTAGTTGAGAAACTTAGGAAATATGTGGATTAAGCTTGGGTAGATTTTATTTTGGAGGAGCAAAGTAGTAGACACTTAGCAGATAAAACAAATCATAGAAGCAGCCACTGGAGGCCCGGCCACCTGTCAAAAGTACTCCCACGATGAAGGGAATGAGGCTAGACAAGAGCATTCAAATCTATAGCAAGCCTGAGGCCTCTAAGTCTTGATTTTGGCTTGGGGGGGGGGGGGGTCACTATGAAGGAGCACCAGATAATGAAGCTTCCAACCTTTTCCTTGAATGGTTGGCTAAAAACTCAAAACTCTTCAAGTACATAGATAGTGTCTGATGCCAGAGGACTAAAAAGGAAATGCTTTACTCTGTAGAGATTCCCCAACTCCTCCCAGAGGGAAAACAAATCCTTTTCTAACACTTGTTTCAAAAGCATCTTAAAGCTTCCCAGTGACCCAGAATACTGACAGTGGTACTTTTTTTTTTAAACCAGGTTAGTGAGCCCCATTTAACACATCTGTGCTCAGAATTAACTTCAACTAACAGATTAAAGGGTATCTTTTTCTGTAACAGTCTGAAATGTTAGTCATTTAGGAGGTTTTCTGTTTTGCTTTTTAAATCTTATTTCAAAGAATTCCCTCTTATGGTAGGAGGGTTCACGTGAAGTGAAGCCAACAACAACTCAGGCCTTTGGAGATCTACACACTAAAAATCATCTGCCAAACCATAAAAAGAGTGTAAAGCCCAAAAAAGTCCAATTTCCCTCATGTCCAGTAGATTTTCTCTTTTTGAAGTCTCAAATCAATTGTTACATCCACAAATGGTTTATGGTGCCGCTGCTTTGCAGGGTATGGGCTTAGTGTGTCTTGGCAATCCAGTACCGATTAGAGACAACCGATGAAGGTGGCCTTTTAGTATCAAGGGCACAGCTAGTGGTTGTGGCAGAGCCCTGGCATTCCTCTCGAAGGATGAGGGGCAGGACGGGGTAAGGCAGCAGGTCTCTTGAATGTCACCTCCTTGACATCTGAAGACATCAGCTAAGTGAAGCATGCGAACCAGCCACACACAGTCCCAAGAAAAGGGAAGGAAACAAGTAGGAGAATGCTTGTCATACTGCCAGGTAAGTGCTGCCTCTGCCCATCAAAGCTGCTCACTGACAAGAAAAGGGGTGGAGAGACGTTAACATGAACACCAAACCCGACATAAGTGCACACTGCCAAGTCTGGCCCCTTGAAGAGTGGAGCAGGTGCAGAATCCAAAACCAATGCGGGCCCATGCTCTGGTGTGGAGCAGGGTCAGGGGTGGGGGCGTGACCTGGATCCTGAAGCTCAAATGGGTGTCAGGTGGATGCCAGGGCCAGTTTCACTCCAGCTTTTTGGCTGGCACCCGTGTCCGGGCAATGATGATGGGCACCAGGGCCAGGCAGGCAATGAAGAGGGCCCACAGGGGCCGATAGAAGAGCCAGCCAGCAGCCACGGTCAGCAGGGTCAATGAGGTGGCCACGCAGAAGGCAAAGGCCTTCAGGCCAATGTTGACCAGATCTCGGAAGACAGGAAACCAGTCCACTGTGGGGAAAAGAAAAGCAGTAAGGCTTCCGAGGACACCATGTTGCACATCTCAAAGTCAGCAGATGCTTCCTATCTCTAGACAAGGATGGGCCCTTGATGCCAGGTGAGTAAGGGGAGGAGAGGATCAGTGGTGGAAGGTAAATAACCTAGAGAGGGCTAGAAGATCCAGAAAGGGAGGAGACCGCCCTCCTGAGCTGCACGGCTGGGCACACAGAGCCACCTGCTGCACTGCTCCAGGGGAGGAGGAATGTGCCAGTGTTTTGTAAGCTTTAAACTGTATGTTGAAATCAATCTGAGGCCAATATAAAGACATCTGACTAGCCCTGGCTGGTTTGGCTCAGCAGTTGGAGCGTTGGCCTACGGTCCAGAGAGACATGGGTTCGGTTCCCACTAAGGGCATGTGCCTTGGTTGCAGTTTGTCCCCGGCCCTGGTTGGGTCATGCAAGAGGCAGCCACTCAATGTGTCCCTTTCACATTGATGTCTCTCTCCCTCTCCCCCTTCTCTCTCTCTCTCTCTCTCTCTCTCTCTCCTCTCCTCTCTCTCTCTCTCTCCCCCTCTGCCTCCCTCCCTCCCTCCCTCCCTCCCTCCCTCCCTCCCTCCTGCTCTATCTGAACAAAATATTGAAAAATGTCCTCGGGTGAAGATTTTTTAAAAAGACATTTGACTGTAACAGTGGCAAGTACTATTTGCTGCATACTCAGGAGACTGGGTGAACCCTTCTGTGGGTACCTATTTGGGCCCCTCAGCCATTCCTGGAAGTGTCTGTTCATTCACGCTGAGGGAAACAAATTAGCCTCAGTTGGGCCCTGCCTCAAGGATCTCAGAGGCTACTGGGCCAATATGAAATCTAGGACCCAGATAAATCCATCTGGAATTACCCTGTCCTTGGCCTGTCTAGCGTCCTCAGGACGGAATCCTATGGCTGCTATCCACTGGGGGAATCTTCACTCAGTTCCCAGGAGGCCCCAGTAGTCTGGTGCCATTGGGTTTGCAGAGCAAGCCCTGGTGCCCTGCCCTGACTACAGGATCCTGCAGGCCACCGCAGGGCTCGTGTTTGTCCACTCTCAGGGAGCACCCCTATCCGGCCCTCATAATGAGCAGAGTTCACGTTTTCGAGCGTTGACCATGTGTCAGGCACTACATGCACCATCTCATCAAACCCTCAGGCCCACCCCCTGTAAGGCCAGTACTGTTTTTTTTAATCCTCACCCAAGGATACTTTTTATTGGTTTGAGAGAAACATCAATCAGTTGTCTCCCATATACGTCCCAACTGGGGATCGAACCCACAACCTAGGTTATGTGCCCTGACCAGATATCAAACCCCAAACCTTTTGGTGTATGGGACAATGCTCCAACCAACCAAACCACCTGGCCAGGGCAAGGTCAGTACTATCCTTCACCTCATTTTACCCACAAGGCCACTAAGGCCCAGGGAGTTCAACTTGCCCAAAGTCCTACAGCTAGAAAGCACCAGAGGCAGGACTTAAACTCAAGACTGTCTGAGCCCAGAACCTGAGCTCTAAGCCATTGCTCTGAGCCTTGAAAGGACAGGGACCTTTGTCCTATTCTTTGTGTGGTCTCCAGGGCTTAGAACAATGTCTTGCACACATCAGGTGCTCAGTAAATTCTTAATGAATGCTTTTGTGCTGCAGGTTCCTGAATCACTCCCCCTGCACTTTGGCTCTCTCCATGCTCTGAAGTCTACTCTGAGTCTGGAACGTCAGCATTGCAGATGTGGAGAGAATCAGGATCACAGGCAGTCAAGAGTCAAAGAAGGGCCCTCTAAGATACACTCCAACCTCCTCATCTTGACAATAGGACAAGTCTCCAAGGGGAAATGGCCAATCCAGGTCACCCAAACACGATGGACTTAGTGCAAAGGAAAAAGATGGAGGGTTCTGTTCAAATGCAGATCTCTCCTGAATGGTACCCAAGATGCGGTTGGCTTTTCTGAGCACAATTCAGCTCTCCCAAGAAAACCTCAGAGAAGTGTCCTTCCCCTCCCTGCATCTGTTTCCCATCTGTAAAATGAAGAAGGTGGCCCTCCCAGCTCTGATAGTCTGCGATATGCACCCAGACCTCGTCCCAACTGGAACGGGTAAGTGGGGGAAGAGGTTTCTGTTGGGGCCCAGAGAAGGCTGAACAGAATCATCTGACTGGACAGGGACACACTGGGGTAAAGGCTCAGATGGAAAGTCCTCCAGAGCATTGCAACAGTCTACACCCTGCCCTTTCTCAATCAGCCTGGGTGCAACTCCTGAGCCAGGCTGGGTCACTTGAGCAACTGCTGGGCTCACTGGTGCCAATCTCAGGCTATGGGAGCAGGATGGCCCAAGGGTCCAGAACTCTGATATAACAAGATTTCAGGTCCGGCTCACTGCCAGGGCTGGCCAGCCTCCTCGCCATGGCTGTTCAGTCGCGGAACGAAGGAAGGAATGAGCAAGTGAATGAGCCAGTGGACAGATGGGTGAAGTAGATCCAGACCCCCCAGACCACAGAGGCTACACCAGCCTCCCAGGATTGGCATCCACTCTGCCCTCACCCCCTGAAAATACCTTGTCTCTCGAACGTGCCTACCTTTGTTTATTCATCCCAAGCTATGGAGTGGGGACTCATGCCCAGGCCCGGCCCCAGGTTGCATACCGTCAGGCCAGAAAGGCTGACAGATGGTGTGAGTTTCTGGCTAACAGATGGTGTGAGTAGCATGGAGGAGGCACAGGGAGGCTACAGGAGGGCGGGCAAGACCCCCCCACCCCCATCTCTCCTCACCTACCCAGGGTATAGAGGATCCGCGTCATGAGGTTGAGGCCCATAAACATGGCCATCCAGCCAGCAGCCCGCAGGCCCCATGTCTTCATAGAGTTGCTCTTTTGTTCTCTAAGAAACACCTCCTGCAGGACAAGGTGGAGGAGTAGGGTGTTAAATCTCACATCTGAGGGGGTCACCAGCCTACCCAACTGGCAGGGCAGGTGGCTGAGGGGGCCATGCCAACACAGGAGACTGGACATTTCTGAACAAACCAGAGGAAGACAGGGGCACACCTCCCACCCAGGTCTAAGCGCCTCCCCAGCCTAGCTCAGCAGAGCGAGGTGCACACAGATCACTGTGGAAGGTATGGGCCCTCATCACAGCCCACCTCCCCCGAGAGTCCTTGGTCCACCACCTCACCTGGAATAAACCTGATCCTCCCTCATACTACAGTGGTACCTTTCTGGGGTCACTTATCAACAAACATGACAGTGGGGACGTCTGAGTGTGCCTGCAGGCGCTATGAGAAATGCTTCTGGTAGGGAATTGAACTTAATCTTGGTCACTGCTCATGGCATCTGGGACACCTCTCTCCTGGCTTCCCTCCTACTTCTGCTCCTTCTCGGTCTGCCGGGCACTCCTTCCCTCTAAATGCTGGGATTCTCTAGCTGCTTCGGTCTACACTCTCCACCCGGGAAATCCACCTTATGTCGGCGCCCCTCCAGTCGGCTGCAGCCCTGGCACCTTTCTGAGCCTCACCCCTGTCGCTCCCATGGCCTATGTGACATCTCCACTTCATGTCTTGGCGCATCTGACACTGACACTGGAGTTTCCACTCCAACCTGTTCTCTGTCATCTCCATCTCGGCAAATGGTACCATCCACCCACCTGCACAAGCCAAAACCTGGGTGTCAAATTTGGCTTGTTCCTCAGCTCACCACCCCCATCCAGGTCAACACTGGGTCCACATGTCCTCAAATCCTCTCACCACCATCACCTCCTCGCACTAGAACCTCTGCAGTAGCCTCCTCCCCACTGGCCTCCCTGCTCCTGCCACCCCCACCTTCTCCATGCAGCAACTGCCGAGACCCTGCCACCTGTGCCCCAGCCCCACTGGTTGCTTGTTGGAGACCAGGTCGAGCGTCCTCCTGCCTCGGGGGCTTTGCACATGCAGTTGCTCAGCTGAGAGGATGTTTTCCCACAGGTACACCTGGCCAGCTCCTATACATTCTTCCAGTCTTGGCTTAAATACCATTTCTTCAGAGAGCCTACCTCGTCATTATCTATAGTAATAACAATGTCATAGCTAACATTTATCAGTCACGGTCCTAAGTGCCTTACAAGTGTTACTTAATCCTCAAAATAACTTGATGAGGTAAGTACACTCATCTCCATTTTATAGATGAAGAAACTGAGGTTCTCAGAGGATAATTAACATGCCCAGGATCTCACCCCAAGCAGTTAACTAAGCTATAAGCATAGGGCAGGGTTCATGTCTGTTTTGTCCCTACGTTCCTGGTGCTTAGTATGTTGAATGGAAAATCTTCACAACAACTAAATAAAGTAGAAAAAATTGCAATAATCATTTTAAATTTCCATTTTACAGAGTGGGGCAACAGATTGGGAGGATAATCAATCAGCTCAAGGTCCTGAAGACAGCAGAAGGCAGAGCAGGGCTTGAGATGGGGCCATCTCCAGTGTCCACACTGCACTCCTATCCCCAGGGCTGAAACCTGGACAGCCTGACTCACAGGGTTTGGGTTTCTCAGGGTCCCAGGCTGCCTTCTTGGCTCAGGGCCTTCTCTCCCTACTTGACAGAGACCCCAGACCCTGTGCTGGAGGCCCACGGTGACCAGGAAGCTCCTGCCCATCTGCAGTCAGAGCCTTCCCTCCTAGGGAGTTGTCTAAGCCATGAGCCCATCCCTCCTCTCTGGGGGCAGCTCTGAGACCTGGGCCTCTACCTGTAGGAGGATGGAAGCCTGGGGACAGGGTTGGAGCTCTGGGGCAGAAAGGCCTGAACAGGGCTTTCTAATTTTAGAAACTCCCCAGGGGGCCCTGAGAGATGCTGGAGGAAAGGGTGACTCATGCCCTGCCAGGCTGGGAGGTGGCAGCCCCACCCTGAGGTTGGCAACCCGCTCCTGGGCTACAGCCCAACCATACTCTAGTCCTGGCTAGAGAAGGCCGGGCCCATGCCACACCCCTGGGCGTGCAGTTGCTCAGCTGAGGGCTAAAGTGAGGGGGCTGACACTGAGGGCCTAAACCCTGACACCTGCCCACTGCCTTCACCCTCTCAAACCCTTCAGGATACAAACCCAGCAATCCTATTCAAAAGCAAGCACAGAACCACAAGTGATACACTGTGTTCACCAACAACGAAAAAGCTCTTTCTGTTACAGAGATGGATTTCCTGCTTGAAGAAGAGTGGCTAACTTTTAAGGCATGCAATTGAACTAACTGGTACATCTCTGTCCCCCTCTTTTTGGGAGAGGCATGACCCTCCCTCTTCCTTCTACATATGGGAACAGGGGTGCCCACCCTCACCTGGTCCTGGGACTCTGCAGCTCAAATCCCTTCACCACCCACCTAATGCTCTTGAAGCAGCACCCCTCACATGGGGCCCCTGCCTGCTCAGTAGACTTCTTCCCCTGACCCCTCTCTCTGGGCAGTGGCAACACACTCCTTATGCCCCAACAAGGTGAACTCTGACCTGCCTGGACTACTTCCGGCACTGACCCATTCTCTTCACTTGGCACTCCGCAGAAATGTTACTGAGGGACATTCCTTGACCACTGTCCAAGCAAATTTCCTATTATTATGCCCATTCATCTCAGAGCAATCCCTCTGCCCTTCATAACACTCAGCGCAAGGTGCTCTTACATATTTTACTAATGAATCTCTCTCTCCCATAAGACTGGAAACTTGTGAAGGAACCTGTTTTGCCCACTGTTCTATCCTTAGTGCCCAGCACAGTCTGGCACACGGGGAGATGCTTACTCCTATTTCTTTTTCTTGCCTTGTTGCACTGGCTATGAGCTATAGCAGTAGGTGCTTATTTAATAACCTTACTAAAGTCTCAGGGAGGGAGATACCAGTCCCTCCATCACAGAGGTGGGCAGCAGCAACTCACCTCTGGTGAGAAGTCCCCATGGTGCAGGAGAAGTAAGGTGTCCCCAGACTTAGTGGAATACGGAACTAGTTGGTCACCCCGCTGCCGGGCAATCACAGTGACCTGGTCAGGGAATTTAGTGTTAGAGCTGAGGGTGCAGTCCCAGCACCCCTCTGCACTGTGTGCTAGAGAAGTGAGACCCATGCCATCCCGCATCCTGAGCCTCTCTCCACACACTGGCCTGGGGTACAGCAGCTCCCAGAGCGCCTGCTAAGCTGCTTCATTTGAAGCTCCAGGCAGGATCCTGGACAGAAGCAGGGGCTGGGCTGGGGGTGGGACTATAGATGACTGGAGCAGGAATTTGAGATAAAGTATTGAGAGCAAATATTGGGGGCTAGCAGAGGAGGGGCTGCATGTCATTAGAAGAACACTTGTTGGGCATAACTGTGAGATCCCCTAGAACTACAATTCATTTTTTTTCTCTTGATTTTTTTTTTCTTTATTGATTTTGGAGAGAGAGGAAGGAGAGAGAAATGGAAACATCGATGAGAGAGAACATCAACTGGCCACCTCCTTCATGCCTCCCCACTGGGGATCAGGCCCACAACCTGGGCATGTACCCTGACCAGGAATCGAACCGGCAACCTCTGGGTGCATGGGTCGATGTTCAACCAGAGCCACACCGGCTGGGCAGAACTACAGTTCCTAACCTGTGGTCTACTGATATCCATGGGTGGCTTCAGGGGACACAGACCTCTGACGGTGCTCAAAGGCATGCCTAACTGCGAACATGAGCACATGGACACAGTTCCCAGAGGGGGCGTCTAAAGCAACACTCATGACATTCTCCACTGTGTCCATGCCCAGGAAGAGTAGGAAGCCCTGCCGTAGTCTACCCGGAGAAGCTACATTACCACATGAGCTGGGCCCAGGTCAGGGTCGTCACTGCTCAGCCCCGAATAGGAAAAGGACACTCGCAGGTCTCCGACCTGGGGGGTGGAAGAGAAGTGGGGTGAGTGAGGACAGGAGCAGTCAGCCTGGGTCTGGGGCCATGGTTTTGTCAAACCCTCCACTTACCCTCTTTTCCCACCTCCACAGCTTTACCCAGGTGGCTCCACCGCCTAGAGTGCCCCTCCCCTTCAGTTTCATTTGGCCAAGTGCAGCTGTGGACTCCACTAAACCAAATCAGAATCTTTTTTTTTTTTTTTAATCCTCACCTGAGGACATTTTTCCATTTTTTGTTGAGACAGAGTGGGAGGGAGAGAGAGGAAGAGAGAGAGAGAGAGAAACATTGACATGAAAGGGACACATCGAGTGGCTGCCACCTGCACGACCAACCAGGGCCGGGGACAAACTGCAACCGAGGTACGTGCCCTTAGCAGGAACCAAACACGGGTCTCTCTGGACCACAGGCCAACGCTCTAACTGCTGAGCCAAACCGGCCAGGGCCCAAATCAGAATCTTAAGCAAGAATTTAACTGCTGTGTACTGTTGGGAGATGGTACTTCAAGAACCCCGATCTATGCTATCTAAACAGCCCAAGCTCCCTGTGCACCTCCGGATATTTGGGGTTTTCACTGTGGTAGAAATAGTCTCCCCGGCGAATGATGTCCACGTGTGGGTCCTCCAGCTTGGACAGACTCAGTGGCTTGAAGTTGTCAACTTTATCGATGAGGCCTGAGAGAAACAGGGTTATTAGAGAGTGGCGTGCGACTTGAAACATCCCTGATCCCCTCAGCTTGACATCCTTCCCATCACACCCTCACACAGCCCTGCCAAGTTGCCCCCTCCTGGCTCATCGTGGGAGGTGGCCTTTGCACGCATGACCCCCACCCAGAGTGCCTTTCTTTAGCACCATCACTTCCACAGCTGTTCTTTGTCAGCCCCATTTCAGCCTCCATCCACCTCAGGAAGACTTCCTTTCCCTTCTCTCAGTGCAGTCAGACCACAGCTCTGGGAATGGGCTTAGCTCCGTGCCCATTCCACCTTGGGTCAGGTTATCCATGTCCCAGCCTGGCTCCCATGCTGCACGGAGACCAGTTGAGGCCAGGGCTGGCTGGCACAGCAGACACTAGCTGAGTAACAGGGAAGATGGCAGACAGGCCAAGCCCTGGATCCCGGCCTCTCCTCCCTCACGTCGGTTATTTGGGCCCTCAGTGTCTTCTCTCCCCTCTTCCTGGGTCAAGCACAGGGACAGAGCCCTAGGAATTACTGTGGCCAGCAATACTGCTTTGTCCCTTGAAATCCTCTCTCTGGAATAACTCGGGGGTGGGGGAGGGGAAGGCGGGCAATGAACTACCCACTCCCTGGCACAAGGCTAGATGCCTTATGGGGCTCAGTGGTGGAGCCCAGGGAAAGCCTTGTCTCTACTATGGGATCAAGGGCTGCCTGAGGAAGGCTCTCAGCTTTGCCTGGTCAGAACGGGCACCAGTACTGAAGCAGTGCCTGGCAGTCAACCTCTGGAACAATCTCCGTGTCAGAGGAACCTGCCCAGGGTGGGGGTGTTTTACACGAGTCCCCACCTCCTAAAGATTTGCCTTTCCTGCCCCGCCGGTGCAGCTCAGTGGTTGAGCATTGACCCATGCACCAAAGGTTGCTGGTTCGATTCCCGGTCAGGGCACATGCCCAGGTTGTGGGCCTGATCCCTAGTGGGAGGCATGCAGGAGGTGGCTAATTGATGTTCTCTCTCATCAATGTTTCTCTCTCTCTCCCTAAAATCAATAAAGAAAAAAATTTAAAAAAAGATTTGCCTTCCCTCTGGCCCCCAGCCCAAAATATGATCCTTGGAAAGGTGCTGGCTAATCCCATGCCCAGGGCAGTGGGGCACCAGCTCCTGGGAGTGGCTAAATGGAAGCACAGAGCCTGTGGGTTGGCAATGGCTCACCTGACGGGCCAGAGACTTACCTGCCGAGAGGAAAAACCTGCCAATTTGGACAAAGGGAGCTGTTGCCGTGAATGACTCCACTGCCATTGCACTGTGGGAGAGGGAGGGAGCTGTCAGTGAGGCAGGACACCAGGTGGGAGTTCTTTGAGTCCCTTTGGGTTGTGCTCAGCAGAGTCTCTACCCAGGGGACTCCTGCAAGTCCAGACAGCCCAGGCACTGCAGACACCTTGTCTTTACCAGCAACTCCACCCCCTGGATGTTCGAATCCCCCTTCCCTGGATGATGCATCCTCTTCTGTCTCCTGTCCCCAGAGCTTCATACCCTCTTGCTTAGACCCCTACCAACCTGTCTCACCCTACCCCCAGCCATCAGGTGGACCTTCCATGGACTTCACACCCTCGCTGACCCTTCCCAGCCCCAGGCAGTATCAAAGCCCACTGTGCACATTCAAGGCCCTCACTGGCAGCCCACCCCATGGCTGCACGCAACCCACACTCCAGGCGTGCTCCAGCATTAGGCCTGCTCCGCCTCCATGTCCCTGAGCTAACCTCTCTGCCAAAATCCTACAAAGGCCCAGATCAAATGCCACTGCCCCCTGAAAGCCCTTCCTGATTGTCCTCCCACCCCCGTGGCTGACTGTTAACAAATACTTCCCTGGTACTACACAAGCAAATCCCTTTAGGCACTCAGTCCAGGCCTTATATTCATGACTTGTTTGAGGGTAGCTTGTGTGGGGTGAGGGAAGTTGCATCTTGCCTCTGTGTCCCTGGTTCTCAGCACAGGAGCTATCCTACCCAGCACCCAGCCTTGTGCCCGGGACAGGGTGGTCAACACAGACCAAAGTATGGCCTACATGTCCAACACCTTTAGCAAGGCAGAAGTAGCTCAAGCCCATTACTCAGATGAGAAAGCCAGGCTGGAGACATGCCAGCGGCAGCCAAGGCTGCACTCAGGCCTGGGAGCCCAGCCCTCACCTAGGGTTTTTGTGGCCAATCTCTCGATCGAAGTTTCTGCTGTTGACTATTTCCGACCTCCATTCAGTGTCTGTTATGGGAAAAGGGAACAACTCAGCAACCATGGTAGGAGTAGCCACATGCCCAAGGCACACTTGCCCCTCATCCTCTTATCCAAGCTCGTGACCACTCCAGGGCTCAAGGGGCAACTCCTGGAGCCTCGCTGGATGGATGGGAAAGCAGGGCCCTGAGGACCAGCACCCAGGGATCCCAACACCTGGTTCTGTGCCCTTCTCCACTGCAGGGATGTGCCCAACATCTGTCCACAGGCCTGGGGTGTGGCCCTTGAGAACAAGGACCTGTACTCACTGTAGGAATATTTCCTCTCTGTTTTCACCTGCCCGTCCTCGGTATACTCCCTGCAGGAAAGCACAGTCCCAGAGTCAGCACATCACTCCTGAGGCAGTCCCATCTCTAAGCATCTCCAGCTGGAAGCAACTTGGGGACCCAAACTGCCCAAATGGAGCAGGCCTTGTCTGCACCAGCCCAGAGACAAAGGTGCTCACTCCCTGGCAGACAGCCAGCTCCAGCCCTCAAAGGCCCTAAATGGAGAAGTGTTTTCACATCTGAACTGAAATCTGCCTCTGCCTAGTTACATCAAGGGTCACAGCTCCGCCCTCTGGACTCAGAGATCTGGCTGGACCCTCTGTTCCAGGACAGCCTCATGGAGACCCTCCATAGGTGCCCTTCTCCAGGTTGAGCTGCCCCGGCTCCCCCAATCACCTCTCCATCTCTCAACTCGTAGTCCATGTGGCTCAGGTGGGGCTGACCTCACCCCTAGCTCCAGGTGACCCCACCCTCGCCAATGAGAGCCTCCCCTAACACTTCTGTTAAAACTGATAGGATAGCCCTGGCCGGTTTGGCTCAGCGGTTAGAGCGTCGGCCTGCGGTCCTGAGAGACCCGGGTTTGGTTCCCACTAAGGGCACGTACCTCGGTTGCAGTTTGTCCCCGGCTCTGGTCGGTTGTGCGGGTGGCAGCCACTCGATGTGTTCCTTTCACATCGATGTTTCTCTCTCTCTCTCTGTTCCTCTCTCTCCCTCCCACTCTACCTGAACAAAGAATGGAAAAATGTCCTCGGGTGAGGATAAAAAATAATTAATTAATTAATTAATTAATTAAAAAAGCATCAGCCTACGGTCCAGAGACCCAGGTTCAGTTCCTACTAAGGGAATGTGCCTTGGTGGCGGTTTGTCCCTGACCCTGGTTGGGCCGTGCGGGTGGCAGCCACTCCATGTGTCCCTTTCATGTTGATGTTTCTCTCTCTCTTCCTCTCTTTCCCTCCCGCTCTATCTGAACAAAAGATGAAAAAATGTCCTTGGGTGAAGATAAAAAAAAAAACTGGTAGGTGGACACTAACAAGTTTGCAGGTTAGATTCCCAGTCAGAAACATGGATGGGTTGCCTCTCACACGTTCCACATCCGGGGATCAAACCTGCAACCTAGGTATGTGCCCTGACTGGTAATCGAACCTACAACATTTTGGTGTACAGGATGACCATTCAACCAACTGAGTCACCTGGCCAGGGCTCTCTGATAGGAAGATTTTATACTTTAAATTTCAGAAGTGTCAAAATGAAAGCCACCTGCATTTTATCCTAACATCTGCACCTCCTCTACCCCCAGCTGATTCTCACTCTCTGGTGCCTCACCTGGACTCCTCGGTTTCTACCCACTGGTACATCTCCACGTGCCGCCGCAGCTTCACAGCTGGAATATGGACCCCATAGTTTGGATCAGACAAAAGCTTCAAAAAGAATCAAACAAACCAAAAATAAATAAATAAAGGACAAAATTCACACCAGCCCAAAACGCCTGGCTCGGGAGAAACTAGACTAGAAAAGAAACAGGTATAGAGCACAGGGACCGGATGGAGAACTCTATGGCTGCTTCATGTGGGGGATCGAGTGAAGCTGCCTGTCCCAGATTCTAAATACCCAGTGTCTGTGACATGTGCCGCACAGTACAGGCTCAGACTGCATGGCCAAATGGCATGGTGCCAACAGCACCGTATTTGGTGTTCAAACAGGAGAGGTCCGATAACCAGAATACCTTTGTGGCCTTGCACTAGACACACATGCTAATCATAATCATAATCATAATCATAATCATTAAAACACCTATTTGTAAAGCTCATACCACGTGCCAGGCACTGTGTCAAGATGTTAGCTACTTAATTCCACCAAATCTTCAAAACTGGCCCCCCAATTTGTTACAATTATTCTCCACATTTTACCAATGAAGATGTTGAGACTTAGAAGTGATGAGCTGCTTAGTGATGGGGTCAGTAATCACGCCCACGTATGTCCATCTCCTAGGTCCATGCTTTCAAAATCCTCAACCAAACAATATCTAGTGGTGTGCCCCAAGCCTCCAGTGGGTCAGCAACCATTGCCAAATGTACCTTGGATGTCCGCAGGGCCCCAGTGATATGCACCAACCTCCCCTCGTTCTCCGGAGCCACACTATGGATGCTGTCGGGGGACACCACAAGTGAGAGCCCCTCAGCCAGGGTGGTTGCCGTCTTCAACGCACGGCCCTGTGAGCAAAGGGGAGTGAGGATTTCAACAACTCAGGCATAGCGTGATACAGTGTCTCAGCCTGATAGTGTCCCAGGGCAAGCATGGGCCTCAAAGAGCACTGAGACTGCCCTTCCAATTTTACAATTGGAAAACTAAGGTCTACCAAGGGGCAGCGTTGGGACTAGAACCCAGGATTCCTGCTTTCCCAGGCAGACCTCTTCCCACCACCCCACTGCCCTCATACTAGAGCTAGCTGGTGTTTTATTTGCCCTGTATCCCTTCTCCCATTTTCCTCTGCCTTCTCCTCCCCTCCCCTACTCTCAGTTCATGTAATTTACATGGACCAGTTTATAGTTTAGTACAAATCATGTGACTCAGGCCTAACCAATCAGGACATGTGTATTGGCCACAGGGACTGGTTCAGAGAGGACTGAGACCCAAGCCAGGACACAGAGATCTCTCTACAACTGTTACTAAAATCATTTAGAAGGACCCTGGAATTCCTTTGCCACCATAAAGGAAGAGCCTGCCAAAGACAAATCCACAACAGAGAAACACAGACAAGAGATGGAGAAATGGAGATTCTTGGTGACCCAGCATGAATGCCTGGATCCAACCATGCCTGAAACTGATGCTATTACCAGGATTTCAGGTATGTAAACCTATCCACTCCCTTCCCACTTATTTCAGTTGGTGGTGGTGGGGTGGGGGGGGTGGAGATCACAACAGAAAGAATTCTGATAAATTCAGCATCTCCCTCTCTCTGTTATAAAATCTAGGCCCTTATTACTAAATCCAGCCTCTGCATTCACAGCCTTTGCTCCCTGATGCTACAAGGACCCTCATTCTGCACAGAGAGACCCTGAACATTTTACCTCATTGGTAAAAATTAAGTAGAAGGAGAGTAGAAAGGTCATGAGACCCACAAACATCCCACCCGAGGTCTCACTCAGCCGCTCCAGGAAGCCCGGCTGGGGATCAGTCGTAATTTTGACATGTTCTCTTCTGTTACTTGTATTAGAATACTAAAAAAAAATAAATAAAAATTAGTTTTTTAAAATAAATGTCATTATTTATACTCAATTTTCATTTTTATTATATATGGTAAAAATGCACAGATATTAAATGTATAGTTTTGGTGGATTTTGACAAATGCATACCCTATTTGACCAACATCCTGATCAAGATACAGGTCATGTCTATCACCCCAGAAAGTTTCTTTGTGTTCCTTTCTGGCCAATACTCCTCTCTCTCCATTTCCCAGAGTTAACAACTATTTGTTAATGGGGTAGGTAGTGACATGACATGCCCAGTCCACACTCTGAACCAAATTCTCTATAAAAAGGATGGTGGAGACTTCCTCTGCTCATTCCTCATTACCCACCCTTATACCTCCCCTAGCCTTTCTTCCTTCCCTTCAAAGCCATCTTGATGTTGGTTACATATTGTGTGCTGAATACCTATATAACTACTCAGTGACACAAACCCTCCCAGTCCCAGCACTCTAGGCTCAAAAGTAATGAGAGGTGGGAACAGAGGTTGACACATAGGCCCTGAAAATTACTTGCTGTGCAACTGTAGATAAGTTGCTCTACCTCTCTGATCCTGTTTACTCACTTTTAACATGGAGATGGTAAACAGTACCTGTAACAGGATAGTAGTTACATTGATTAAAAATTCTTGTCACCTCCCTGCTTCACCCCACCAGGGCTTGGCAACTCCTCCCCTAAACATACACCAGGCTACTAGATGAATCAACAAAGACTTGGCAAATACCCAAATTCATCTACATTCCTTGGCAAACGTCAGGTTCCAACATACTCAAGATGGTCTCTGCCCACGAGGATGGACCATTCATGCTAGATTGTGAAAAATATTTTCATGTATTAAGTACCTACTATACACCAGGCACTATTGAAAGTACAACCTCCCTTAAACTTGCCCCCAGGTCTGCTTGACTCCAAAGCCTGCCATTTGCAGCATGTTCCCATGACATAACCTGCCAAGCTGGCTGTGAGACCCGGGCAAGTGCTTTCGGAAATTCCCTATCTGCAAAGTATGGTGGTGCTGGTATGGGGCCAGACAGGAGTCCACCTCTGGGGACAAGTCAGTCTCCTGACTGCCCTCTCCTCTGGCAGACTCTGGGTCTCATGGACCACCTCTGAGGCTTTTCTAGGTGCAGCATTCAAGGCTTCTAGGCCTCCAAGGCAATTCTAACCTGGGGCAGAGTGCACTAGGGCTGTGGGTGACACAAACCCTGCCTCTCAGAGGGTGTGGGAGGCAGAGCAGACCCTTGGGGACAGAGAAGGGGCCTGGAAAGAGGGTGTAACAGGCCAGGAGAGAGTGGGTAGGGCACTCCACCAAAGCAGGGGGTGGGGGAGGGAGTGTCTGGGGCTGGCAGGGTTCCCCAGCTGGCTCCAGAAGCATTTTCACAGAGGAAGGGAGTGGTGAGTCACTAGCTTCTCCCATATACAGCACCCTGGTGGAAAGGGCCACTCGGTTTGTTGAATGAATGTTGGGCTTACGTAGAAAGGGTCCTGAGAAAAGCTGGCTACAGGGAGAAGCCAGCAGCCTTTTTAAAGGAAATCACCTTCCGTCAGTATCTCTCTAACCGAATCCACGCTAGCAGGATGAGCAGCCCAGCAGTAGGGAAATGCTACCTTACAGTCATCCTAACTCCTCCGCTCCCAACAAGGCCTGTGGAGCTCACTGCCAGCGCAGACAACCCTGTGTGTCCCTTGCTGGACAGCTCCACCCAGGCGGTATCGGCTTTCCCACCTTTCCCGCGGGGCTGGCTCCTCTCTGAGGTTTCGTCCAGCGCCGCAAATTTTGAGAACAAGGGCCTAGGCGGTAACTGGGAATGAAGGAGGGGCTGCGGGGAGGTGCCACGCAGAAGTAGATCCCAATGTCCAGGACAACACGTCCTGAGTCTCCCTCCCCACAAATGCACGACCCTAGGCTGCGGTGCACCCATCAATACAGATAAAAGGGGTCCGGAGTCTGGACAGGCTACGAGAATGAACAGACGGACTAGCGGCCAGAAGGCATAGACACAGCAGGCAGAGGGAGCTAGCGGGGCAGCTGCACAGATAAGGGTCAGTCAGACAAGCAAAATGGACCTAGGAGGCCCCGCGGGGAAAAGGAGGCCCCATGACTTGGGGAAGTATGGGTGTGGCCCGACAGACCAGGAGACACTCACATTCGCGACCATGGTGGGACCCGGCTCGCCTCCCCGTCTCGCTCTGCTCAGGTAGGAAAGGGGTTTATGGCCACAATGCGGAGTGCAGTGGCCTCTTGCCTGCCTAAGAGTTGCGAAAGCCTGCGTGAAGCCCAGAACCAGAGTTACAACGTTACCGCCCCGTGGTCTCCACCTTTTCTGCTCATGCGCGCCGCAAGGTCTTTTGGAAAATGTAGTCTGGGTAGGTGCTTTCTCCACGAAATTGCAAAATGTATTGTATATCATTGATGCGCCTGCGCATCGCAAGACTTTTTGGGAAGTGTAGTTCCTACGGCTGGAGGGTTGCCGAGCGGCGCGCGGCCTGCCGGGAAATGTAGTTCTCGGCTGAGGGGTTTTCAGGCTGCGGCTGGGACGGCGCGGAGGCAGGCGCGCGGCGGGCAGGCCTGGAGGGGGCGGGTTCACGCGGGCCCCGGAGCCTCCCGCCCTGCCAGAGGAGAGGTCACGGTGTGAAGCCGCCGCTGTCGCCGCCGCCGCCGCCACCACTACTACTGCGGAGTCTGAGCGCTGGGCTGCAGCCATGGCCTACTGCCGGCAGGAAGGTAGGGAGGGTGAGCTGCCCTGGAAACCGGCCTACGAGGGCCTGCCCACGGTCTGTGCTGCTCCCGCGGGCTTCGGCACCCAGCGACCCCATTGCCGGTGCGGGCATCCCGAGGCAGCGCGGGGCAGCCGCCTCGGGACCTTTGGAGCCGGCGGGGCGGCCGGGTTGCCACCCCCGTTTTGCAGATGAGAAAACCGAGACTGGGAGGAACGAGGCTGTTCCAAGGTCACGGTGAGACTCGAACCCGAAACTCAGAGGGGCCAGTTAGTGGGAGAGTTTATACACTAGACTCGAGCCGGTAAGGGACGCGCTGAGCACGTTTCCTCTGGCTCTCAATAGGGAATGTATTGTCACTAATTATTACTGTCGCTCTTACCACACACCACGTGTTACCATTTGCACGCGCCTTGTAACTGCCCTGAAAAGTTGGCCCTCAAGTTAGGTGTTGTGCTAAAGTGGTAGAAGTACCAACAAGAACATTTATTGAGCCCAACTACATACCAGGCACACAAGGAGCTTCGTAGGGCTTATCGTTGATCTTGCAGCGACCTTTGTAAGTCAGACTCTGTTAAGACCCAGAGTGACTTAGCTAAAGCCACGTGATGGGTAAGTTGTGGAGCTGGGGTTTGAGCCCTGGCAGTCTAGTTCCAGAACTGCACTATCCAATCTGGTTCCCAGTGGATTCCAGGGACCCCTCTCTGCGAAGACACCTCCCACCCCCCACCCTCCACTCCACACACTCATAAAAAGTTGGGGTTGGAGAGTTCAAGAGCCTCCAGGCCTCAGTATCCAAACTTGTAAAATGAGAAAAAAGAAGTTGGTTTTCATTCAGTCAACAGATATTCATGAAGAACCTTCTCTGTCAAAGGTAATGGGGATGGTAGATACATGAGAAGCTACAGAGAGAGTTGGAACTGATCCAGAAATTCTGTGGTGAATAGTCCAGCTCCCTCAGTTTCATTCAGGGAATATGAAGCCCAGAGGAGATGACCTACCCAAGGTCATACATCAAGTTAGAGAACAGCTTAGTCTAAAATGCTAAGCCTTTTTTCTCACCCCACCTTGCTACTAGAATTCTTCCTACTTTCCCGGGTCATAAAGCCATAATACTCACTAATGTTGCTAGTGAGTACTGTTTATGTTGATTAATACTTAACTGTGCCGTGGACAAAAGACTTGTACCCTCACTACTGTGTTAGACAGTAGGCTGCTTGATTTGAATTTTCTTTCTCTGAATCTCTAATTTACTTTATAATTTAGCTAGTAATTGTGAGCCTTTGGGGTATAATGAGTCTGTGCAGATAAATAAAACCCCTCCTGGCCCTTGAGGATTTCTAGGAGTCACAGGTTCTCTGGGAAGTAGAGACAGGCTTCATTTTCCACCACAGTATGGGTCCTTATCTTTTCCTAGTTCAAAGAGCCTTCTCTTTCTTAGTTTAGGGATGAGAATTGAAAGCACTCTATTTTAGGCTTTCCCTAGTTTATATCTTATCCACATCTAGTGTCCCCTAAATCCCCAACTTTTTGTTGTCGTTGTTGTTTTTCAATCCTCACCCAAGGACATTTTTTCATTTTTTGTTCAGATAGAGTGGGAGGGAGAGAGAGAGAAACATCGATGTGAAAGGGACACATCGAGTGGTTGCCTCCCGCACAACCCAACCAGGGCTGGGGACAAACTGCAACCGAGGTACATGCCCTTATTGGGAACCATAGGCTGAGGACCGTAGGCTGAGGCTCTAACCACCAGTGGCCAGGGCAACTTTTTGTTTTTTTTATCCACCAATTTTTTTATGCTTCTCATAGGACTTTGAAAAATGATCACAAACTCCTTGCAATGTAATGGCTTATAGAATCCAACTCCTGCCTGATCTAGCTCCAGCCTGATCTCTAACCACTATGTCACTGCTCAGCCACACTGGCCTTTGGCTGTTCCCTGTGCCTGGTGCATTCTTAAGCTCTTCCCATAGCTGGCTCCTCATCCTTTAAGATTCATCTCAAATATCACCCTGACCCTCGGTGTCTTTCACATCCTAAATTTTCTGAAATTATTTTGTTTATTCTTGTCATTTTATTTCCTATCTGTTTTCTACCACTAAGCTGAGAGAATTAGATGGGCCATATTCCCAGAATCTAGCACACGGCCTGGTACACAAATGGGTGCTCAAGTCTTTATCGAATAAATTTATACATATACTTGCACTCTGTTATTGAATCACTTGCCTATGGGTTCACCACCACCCAGCCTCAGGTTAAAGGCCTTAGCTTGGCATTCAAGGCATTCTGTAACAGGACAGCCTTGCTCTCTGGCCTGCCTACAGTCAGTGCCTCACTGTTCCTTTCTTTAGTTTCCTCCTTTTCTAACGCTGAACCTGTCCTCTTCTGTTCAGTCAGCAAGCATTTATTGAGCACCTGTGACATGCCAGCTACTGCACATATTAGTAGTGAGCACAGGTGACAAAATCATGGCATGGTGGACACTCCTGGGTTGGATATGCTCAAAGATTCTGATGTATAATGATCCCATGCATGTTCCCGTTCCCCTTTCTGGGGAAGGATGAGATCACCCATCCAACAGTGTTGTCTAACATGCTTAATGGTAATAACCATTCTGTCTTCCTGCCCCTCTGTTGCATGTACTAATCCAGAGTTCTATTTCTCCATTTATTTTTTCAACAAACATTGATTACCCACTATGTTCTGGGCACTGTTACAGGCTCTGGGGATACTGCAGTGAATGGAAAAGATAAACCCATGTCCCTAAGGAGCTGACATTTTAGTGAGGGAGATGGGTGGTAAATAAATGTATAACATGTTAGGTGAGGAGAAGTGCTCTGGAGGAAAATAAAGCAGGGTAAGGGAGATGCAGAGTGGTCAAGGAAGGTGGCGTCTGAGCAGACTGTATGAAGATATCTGAGGGAAAATGGTACAGGAGGAGAGAACAGCCTATGCAAAGGCCCAGAGGGACATGTGTGCTTAGTATATTCAGGTAAATGAGAAGGTGCTGGAATGGTGGGAGCAAGGAGTGGAAGATGGGGTCATGGGAGGGATGCAGATCTTTCTAGACATTTGAAGCTAGAGCTAACCTGATTCGATGATGGAGGGGTCAGAAGAAAGGACTCAAGAATGGCCGTACAGAGAGTAGAACTACAGAATTGTCTCCGTATGCAGCTGCTCATCCAGTCCTCTGTTCTCAGCCCCACTCCAAAGTCCTGGTTTCAGAGGCCCCTGCGGCCTTGGATTCCCACACTTACCAGGGTCCTGGGTGGGGACTGATTTTTTTCTAGTTGACTGCCCCTTCTTGTGCACTTTGGGTTCAGCGTTCTCCATTCACTATGTCAGAGAGCACTTTTCTGTCAGCTTTTCCTCTTCTGAAACTTGATTGACATCTCTAGCCTCTGATTCTCTCTTTTCCTGGCCATCTTATTCTGGTCATTTGATGCCATTTGAGCTGGATATCCAGTAAGAGCAGAAACTTGTTTCATTTTCTTTGTTTACCATGGTAGGTAAGGCTGAGTTGGGGGTGCAGGGGCCGGGTCTCTGAGATCCCAACGAAGGTTCCTGATTACCCAACTATTTGGCATTTTTAGGACTGGTTCTCTCTTTCACAGTTAAGTCTGTTAGGAGTAAGTAAGCATTGTCTTTGTATTCACTTTCTTTTTTTTATCCTCACCTGAGGACCTTTTTGCATTTATCTTTAGATAGAGCGGGAGGGAGGGAGGGAGGGAGGAAGAGAGAGAGAAACATCAGTGTGAGAGAGACACATTGACTGGCTACCACACCCACAACCCCAACCCGGGCCAGGGACGAACTGCAACCGAAGTACTTGCCCTTAGTGGGAACCGAACCTGGGACTCTCTGGTCTGCAGGCCGACGCTCTAACCACTGAGCCAAATTGGCCATAGCCTCCTTGTATTCACTTTTAAACATTCCAGGAAGTGAAGGCCTGAAAATATGTATATTTCTTTATAAATCACAACATCACATCTGTCTATCCAGTATAACCTCTCTCTCTCTAAGGAGGGAGGTTCGGGAAGGTGCTTGAGAGGACTCAGCCCTGTGGGAGGGACCTGGAAGATTCTTGGTGGGATTGTGTTGAACCTGTGATTCCCACACCTGTCTCTGTATCACAAGTACCTGTGAAGCCAGTGTGCAGTGTGAACATGCCAGAGAGCTTGATTTCTTTTTTTTTTTATCCTCACCCGAGGATATTTTTCCATTTTTTGTACAGATAGAGTGGGAGGGAGAGAGAGGAAGGGAGAGACAGACAGAAACATCGACGTGAAGGGACACATTGAGTGGCTGCCACCCGCATGACCAACCAGGGCCGGGAACAAACTGCAACCGAAGTACGTGCCCTTAGCGGGAACCGAACCCGGGTCTCTCCAGACCGCAGGCCGACGCTCTAACCGCTGAGCCAAACTGGCCAGGGCCAGAGAGCTTGATTTCACTTTTTCTTTTTTTTTTGCTTTTATCTTCAGATAGAGAGGAAGAGAGAGAGAGAAACATCGATGTGAGAGACACATCGAGTGGTTGCCACCCACATGACCCCAACCAGGGCTGGGGCCAAACTGCAGCTGAGGTACATGCCCTTAGTGGGAACCGAACCTGTGACTCTCTTGTCCACGGGCCAATACTCTAACCACTGAGCCAAACTGGCCAGGGCTTGATTTCACTTTTGTTGGGTGACAGGCCTGGCCTCTGGGCCTTGTTAATTGGTCTGGGTCTAGCTAAGATCTTGGTAAACAAAATTATCAGAGCTGAGCTAAGAAATTTGCTGTCAGCTTATTCTGCTTAGCAATCAGCATTTTTGTAGGTTGCTTTTGAGTGTTTTGAAAACTGGCCAGGTTCACCAAGGTTGTTAGTTACTTTCATGTGCCCTGGCTGCTTGGCCCAAATCCTTTCCCAGGCCACATGGGAAAAGCAGTCTTCTCAGATAAAATGTGAGGTCTGGAGGCAGAGACCAGTTCTGGGCGTGGAGATTTCAGGTGGGCTGGAGGTCCA